TCTGAGTATCAAAAGTTTCAAAAAACACATGCACTCATATTTGACCTCCAATGTATTTTATACTACTGGAGAATATATAGCGGCCCTAACATCCACAACAAAATAAATAACCATGGGGTATATTATTCCTGGTGCATTATCTTTTATAAATTACTTTTTACACTACATTTTACTCAGTTTTTATCATTGATTATACATCATATTGTTCTCGTATGTTTGTATGCACACTTTTTTTTTAGTATTTAATTTTTAATTTTTAACTTCATCTGTAAATCTCTAGTCTTAGCCACTAGTTTTTGTAATATTCATAACTTATGTATATGTGACGTATCTTATTTGTATTCTTATGAATGCACCTAAAAGACAAATAAAATATCTATCTATCTATCTATCTATCCAATCTTGCGAAAATCTTTCCACCTGCTAGAGTGGCCAAAACCTGATTAACTGAGGGGACTGGATAAACATCTTTCAACAATGCTTTATTAATGGTCACTCTGTAGTCACCGCAGATACGAATACTATTGTCAGATTTCATAACAGGTACAATTGGAGTGGCCCAGCGGCAGTGTTCCACTGGTTCCAGAATGTCTTGATCAACCAATTTCTTGAGTTCTGTCTCCACCAATGGCTTCATTGAAAAGGGCAAATTTCTTACTTTCGATAGAATAGGTTTGAATTTTGGATCTATATTTAACGAAATCGGTGGGCCTCTGAATTCCCCTAAGTTCTCATCCTTTTCTGCTCCGACTGCGCCAATATTAAATATGAACTTGTAGGTTCTTTCAGAAAAGAGTCGAATAGAAATATATTGTATTTGTTACTTCTTTTAATATAAATCTCAAAGTGACACAACACTCAATAACAACCATAATTGTTTTTCATCAAACATAGACTACTCAACATGAATACAGGGTGACCACTTAGACCTATACATAACAACGGCAAAAAAGGAATTGTTGAATCAAGCAAAATTTAATTGAATGAAGCAAATAAAAGTGTCATATATGCACGACAAAATATAGTCTTGAAACGAGTAAAACTATATCTTGTTTCAGAGCGAATACGAAGTTTGAATTGAGTAAATATGTCTTGCATGAACTCTGGATCTAATTCAATCAAGCACATCCATGAGTTTTTTAAGAAGAGATATCAAATTGGCTCAAACAATGATTTTGTTTGATTCAAAATAACAAGATATTGATTCAATCAAATAATTAGTTGATTCAATGAAATATTTGGTTGAATCAAAGGAATATTTGGTTGGATTCAATGAATTATTTGGTTGATTCAACGAAATATTTAGTTGATTCAAGAGAAACTGTATTTCCATTCGACAAATCGTTTTGTTGAACCAAATTCAACGACAAGCGAAAAGGTTCATCAACCATTCGCAGAACCGAGCCAAAGAGCTACTCAGCCTCAGCAAACCAGAGCTAAAGCTTATCACATGCTTTCTCACAGAACACGGCCCTCTGAGGTACCACCTCAAAAAGATGGGCCTGGCGGAGACTGACACTTGCCGCTTTTGTAACAATGCGACCGAAACCGCGGAACACATACTTTGCTCATGTGAAGTATTAGTCCGCCAAAGGCTGAACCACCTAGAACAGGTCTATCTCACCCCTGCTGAGGTGGAAAATTCAACCGTCAGGAAAATTGTAGGCTTCATCAGAAGTCTAGGGTTAGAGGACCAAAACTAGATAAGGGTAATCACAATAGATCTTTTAGGTCGCAGTGATCGAGAGGTCTCCTGGCCTATACGATCCATCTACGATTTACAATCTATACAACCAAATTCAGTATTAATTCGGGAGTTTTCTGAAATTTCACATCAATAATAGTTATTTATGTATTAAGGGAATTATGAGGGCCTTAATTACCGATGGCAAAGTTTGCGTCCCGAGGGCCTCTGGCCCGAGGGACAGCAATTGCCAGAGGTTATTAAGGCTCTATAATTCCCGTGATACATAGATAATTTTATTTCTGACTGATTTCATTTATAAGATACCTTCCCGATTGGAAGTTAGACATGTTTTTCCGTATAGTTTCAATGTCATCAGAACGTCAGATGATGATCTTGACTACCGCAAATAGGAGATTCCTTATTGCTACGTTATTGCGTGGTTGTTGCTATGCATTTCTTATTTAATTTTCGCTAGAGGGAATTATAGCATCTATAACATCCCAAGGGAGTTATGACCCTCATTATAGAAATCGTAACTATGACGATATAAGCTTATAATGTCACTGTCAGGAATAAAATAAACTAAACTAGGGTCTAGGAAACTAGTCGACTTCTAGCATAGATCTCCAGTCTGTAATTCTCTTCAGCTGATGCAAAACAATTTCGGAACTTTCGGATTGCTAATAATCCTAAGTTTGATTTATCCAGCTGATATTTCAAACACGAAGAATCTGGCTTCACGTATATAATGAATTCAAGGCAGGCATAGACGAGGCGAAATGATCGCCATCTAGAGGCGAAAATTTAACTTGATGTAGAATGAACAGAAGATTTCATTGATATTACATATTTCGTTGCTCTATTCAAGCAAATGATTCTTTCGAAACTGGTTCATTGCTACATCGGAATAAGAAAACTTGTATGTTGTTTCAAAGATATATTCATATCAAAATGATCATTATTTCATAAAATCAACAAAATGTTTATAGATTCTACTATCTACATCGATATTATTTTGGATCGACATAATTTGTCTTTGAGAAAACCATATATTTTGTTGATGGAATTGATATTATACTGTTGATTCAATTAGACTACATTCTTGATTTGAACAAAATTGCTCAGTCCAACAAAAATAATTCAAGCATAAATAATTTGTTGATGTGAGAATTCCTTTTTTTCCGTGTAGGTATAAAATCCTGAGCTCAAAATATGAAGATTCAACGTAAATCACCTAGATAACATGTGTCTCCTGTCTGTTAGAAGGTGTTTTATTATTTATTCAAAAAAATTTAAATTATTTTATTATATTTTTTTGTTAATATGGATTGAAGTTTCATTCACGTAATGAATGCAATCCGATGCAATCCAATAAATCAAAACATCGAATTAACAAAAACATGTGATAAAATGACAACTCTGCCAACGGCGTAGAATTTGGGAAGGATCAACCAGCCATTGCCCCTGTCGAACGCCTTTAGAAGTAGCCAGATATGTTTATTTTACATTATTTAATAATGTGTATAGTACCTACACTTCCCGCCAAATATGACAATGATACGTCAATTTATTTCATAGTACTAAGCACCATAATTATTTATAAATTTTCATATATAACACCCTGTAATTCAGACTGGAGATACATTTTATCTGAGTTCCAATTAGTTATGAAACACCCCTGTATATGTCAAAAAAGAAAAATACATGTAAGGGATGGAACTGAATATAGTGAACAATAAAATATCAGTATATTACGTAATATGTGTGGTAAGAATGCTGCAAACTTCTACTAGCAAGCTCGTTGACAGTCAATCAATCTGCAGACAAAAAATGCATATTAACAGCTGATTCAAAAATGTATGCATCAGAGCAGATTTGTTGTGGGTATGTCACCTAAATTGAGTCAGATTTCGAGTAACGTTATCAACAAATATTTTATAGATCTCATGAATGATCACAACTGAATTATTAAATCAGTTTTGATAACACTATCTCAATTAAGATTCAATATACCTAATTTGGAAATGATGTAATCAATGTAGATTCTATTTATTACTCATTTCTGATTTGAAATACTCTGATCTGATTAATTTCCAGTCACTAATGAGTGAAAAGGAAATACACGAACATGGCCGCGTGCATGAAAGAAATCAACGGCGATATGGATTTAACTATTCAACTGAAAAATAGGTATATTGACTTATTTAAACGTCATGGTAATCGGATATAGATTAATATAACTATATACAATCCAATGAATAAGAATTACACCATCCAAATGAATATTTGATACAATTCATGATCATCAGCCAGAAATTATAATCTTACCCGCAGTATCCAAACTTCACAGATATAATCATGCTATTAGCAACATGTTTAGTGCTCAAACTTGCAGTACCTAAGTACTTCTATACCATGCATTATAATTCACCACTGACGCTGAGTTATCAATTGGAGAAAACAGCCTCTGGTTAGTCTCGACTGGCTCGAGTCTTCCTTTCGTCGATGACCAGCAAGATTCGGACATTCCCTAACTTCGAAATTCTTTATTTAGAATTATAACATAATATTGTGGTGACTTCGAACGGTCGACATGTATACTGTTCATGGTTTTCACGTTGAAAATATACCGAGACAGTGAGAGTTACAGTGAGTGAAACGCTATCAAATACTGCGCATGGACCGGCCCGTTTACAAATTAGTTGGTGAAGTCGCTCAAAAATGAGTGATTCTCACATGTTACATCTAATGATTGCGTAAAAGCCACTCTAATATGGTTTTCTGGTTCGTTCAAATTTGTCATAAACATTGTCATTATTGGGAGAAGTTGTGAAAATACCCAATATTCATTGGAAATTTACTCAAAAACTTTACCCAGTAGATTGACTCACTACCAAATTTGCAGTCACTTAAACTTACAGTGTACGATGTAGGAAGTATGTACTTCGCGCATCGTTTTATTTCGCGCACTGCTTTGCACATGGTGTCGTGGTAACGTAGGAAACCGAATAAAAGTGTCACTTCGCAATTTGTTATCAATGCGCGAACCTTGTCATTTTTTGACGTTTCTAGAAAAAATATATTATGATCAGTACCTACTACAATCCTACATTTCGTTTCCAGAATATGTCTTGACCCCCTACATTTCCGTCGGCATGCAATCCAGGGGATCCCCGTATTTTTCTGTTCCCATCATACGGACACTCAGTGACCTCGTCACGTTGTTCAGAAGATGCGACGACGGCGGCGAAGTCGGGAAGTTGGCGCGAGACAAGTGACAAGTGACAAGTGACAGGTGACAGGGAAAGAGACCATGCCCGGCCTGATAGTGTTCAGGAGAAGATGGAGTGTCGGATCGGACGATTTGGTCGTTCCTGGCGCATTCCTTTTCTCCATGCATCTCATATGGTGAGTACCTACCTATATCATCAATCAGTCACCAATGAACAACAAATGGAGAGACTATGCTTGTTCTCGGATTTACGCTGAATGCAATGAATTCGCGCTTACTACGTGACAGGGTTGGCACGAATTAATTCATATGAATTAAGTCAGTGATTTAATTCGTGAATTAATTCAAATGACTTTTTTCAAGTCATGAATTAATTAATTCAAACTTTCTCCAATGGAAACAAATCGCACTATCTATCACCTTCAGTTTGAACTAGTTCGAATTGAAAAATCATAAAGATCTGAGCGTCCACAGGCAGGAAACTAACTTCTTTAAGAATCGCTTTACATACTTCAATTTTTTATTGCATTCAAATTGATTGCTACATATCATATTTCTGGCAATAATAATAATCGGAATGACCGGCTTGCAATGTACTATTGTAAATAAAATTGGGTTTTACTTTTTATCGTATTAGAAGGAACCATGAGAACAGTAACATTAAATATGCATCTAATGATGAACAAATAATCTATGAAATATTGAAAATCAATCATTTTTTAACTTATGATAATTATAGGCGATCCTTTTTGGCAAAGTAAAATTGACATTTCAATGAGAATTTCAAAGTAAAGCGAACTTTAAAGTAGCTCTAATGAAGATTCTCAATGAGTAATAAGTTACATAACATGCATTTATTATTATTATTTTTGTAAAAAAGTCCGAATTAATCCAAAAAGTCAGACTTTTATGACTTTTTTATAAAAGTCATGTCTTATTCTAACCCTGCTACGTGATCGACTTGAAACAGTTGCCAGATAGTACTGGACCGACTTTGGATTATTTGAAATATACCAAATATCATCACTGTATAACTGCAATATGCCAAAAATAGTGTTTTCTCTTTGTCGAGGTGATTGGAATCCATTATGGACTTCATATAGGTCTAATATCTTTTATTTAACTTGCAATGTATGCATGTGAGAATGTTTTTGCGGGTGGAATATTTGAACTCAATTTTGAAATAAATATCTTCAACCGATTGAGTTTGAATTTTGTATACACGTTTAGTTTGACAATGACGATGCACGATGAGGTGTGTGACCTCGTGTGTGACTATATTCTAAATCCAATATGACGGACCATCAGAAATGGCGGAATAGTTATTTTCAATGCTCTTTTATATTATATTCTATAAATTATTATTCATCTGGTTTTTGTTTCCGCCTGAATCTAATGTATGTACCTATTTCAAGGTGAGGGGTGCCATTCCTACATGTATTACGTGAGTATAAATGCTGAATAATAGAGGCCCAAGTATAGAGCCTTGAGGAACTCCATTATTTGTAATATTCGGTTTCAGCATATTCATTCAAGCCAACGAGTAGTCTGGAATATCCCTTTTCTCGTTTTATTCGTTATTCAAATCCGATTTCACCGGTTGGAATTAGGCCCGTCCATTAATTTCCACTACCTACCTCCAGGAATTACGATGTCGGTGAATCACAGACTCTATTTAACGGTGCTGGAAATTGATTAACTTAACTGCAATTAAGTCGACCCACTTTACTACCTAGCCCCGAAGTTCCAATCCGAGTTTCAATTCGTGAACGATAGGATTTACTTTTTTGATATCCCATAAACTTCAATGCCTAATCGACTGAATTATATTATTAGTGTAAAATCTAAAATTGGGTACCTATACTAATCGATCTCCATTCATGTGATTTTCAATTAGAGCTCATAGCTTGGTCGACATCCACGTTTTAGTTGTGACATGTTTTCTATAATCACAGCGTGATTCACAGAAAATAATAAACCACTGCTATTTCGAAAAGTTGACTGAGTTACCATGGTGATGTTGATTCCATCAATGATATTCATCACCACAATCATAATGTATTTCTATTGTGCTTAAGAGGTGAAGATGTTTTGAAAAGGAATATCGTTAGATAATCTATTATAGAGATGAAAAAGGGTAGAAATGCATTGAGAATTCGCATTCTCTAGCTGATAAAAGAATTGATTCTTTACCGGTATATTCAACAGAAAACAACTACTTTCCTGGCTATATGCGATGACGAACATTGAGTTACATCCGTGGTTACATCTATTGAAAACATACAAGAAGAAGAAAGAAATAAAATCTTTGGTAAGTAGTTGAGAATTTGCATTTTTTCATAGAGCCAGGGAAATTGTTGTTTTCTGTTCAATATACCGAGGAAGAATTAATAGCTTTATCTCGATTTTTATCAGATAGAGAATGCGAATTTTCAATATCGCATAATTTAATTTATCTGAGAATATAACTTTTCAATAGTTCCATACCCAATCAAGGGGTTCAAACTTCAACGATGGAAATTTGTTATCTTTACAGACCTCTAATCACATCAGATTCGTCTGTATGATGAATATTTATTTGTCATACATCTAAACAAAAAAGATAAAGATGTATTCACAATCAAAAATCAAACATATCGGTGCATAAAATACATTTGTATGTATTTCGGGCGTAAGATGCTTTTATGGATCTAGGCGTATTAACAGCCCTCACTATCGCTTGGGCATGCTACGGTACATAAAAACCTATTTTCCGCCCTTGATACATGAATAACTATTCTGTTTTACAAAGTTTTATGCCTAAATCGTTCAGTTATAGCGTTGAGAAAATAACAGACAATCATTTAACGATCTATTTCACAACTTCAGTACAGCAATTCGTCTCTCATATTGCAAACTGGGTAAATATTCAGTATAGAACCTCACGAACCCATTTCGTTCAAATTAATCGCAGTATAGGCAATGCAGTAGTTAATTTGAGCCGGTTCTGGAGCCCCTATGACCTTAGGGACTGATGACTATTAGAGTAACCTTGGATTGAAAAACCTTGCAGAATGAACACTGACAAGAAATCATAATGTGGAGGTTACTTTCACCTTGTAGACACCATCACCACCGAACATAAACAGGTTTATGTTCGGTGCCATCACTGTTGAGATGCAAATTGCTAGTGGTGGGGGATCACTAATATTGTGATGATGCCCAATCAGCACCAGACCTCTTAAAGACGTACATTTTACGACCAAATTACGTCTTTACGTGCAGGGACGTATGAAAGACCTCTTGAAATCGTTCATTCGTGTACGTCTTTAGGACGTGAAAAACGTACATCTTGAAAACGTACATTTCACATTTCAGGTCCGAATCGCGTCATTCTTTTCAGGACTTGTAAAAGACGTCTTAAAGGAGCACATTCGAGTACGTGAATTCCACGTACAGAAATGTGCACTAATGTAAGTTATTTTCTGAAGAACAAAGAGAAAATTAAATAAAAACGAAATTCATCTTGTCACGTTTTTTATCTTTTTAGTCTTTCTTTATCATCAAAGTGATGTTTTGATTTTTTTCCGTCAGTCATTATGGAGCCTTCGTGTTAGATTCTTTAATTTTGACACAAAATCATAATCTTGGACTCCAAAAACCCCATTAATTAATTTTGAACAAAATCGTATCAAGTATAATCACAAAACAAGTCAGCCATTTTGAAGCCGTCATCTTGAAATTTTTGTTTTCGACAAAAGAATCATAATCTCTGATCCCAAACACCCCCAGATACTAATTTTGAATCGAATCAGTCCATAATCAGAAAATTATAGTATGTCATATGGTAGTCGCCATCTTGAAATTTTCAAATTGGACAAGATAATCATAATCTCCAACCTTGAGAAGTAGAATCCACCATTTTGCTTTTTTTATTCAATAATAATGTCACAACGGAGTCAGAACGAATCGTCACCAGAATTATATTCTCTTGTCAAATTCCAAATCAATGGGACGATTGGAAATGGGTCAAATTTAACTTGCAAGTTTCGATCACAAATAGACACCAGGATATGTGAAACTAATTGAAAGCTTGAAATGTATTGAATGGAATAAAATGAGTAACAAAAGAAATTGATAGGTATGGTCCCATCACCGAAGTCAAGCAACAACGTAGCGCGGTCAGTACTTGGAGTCTACCAGTTTCGGGTGGGTCGTTTTTTTTGCTCGGCTGTACTATTTGTCAATTTCAGTATACAGGTGAAAATAAATGGCAAATATGTGATTCTTTCTAGGTTTTTTTCGTAATTTGAAAGATCAATGGACAAGGACCAAAAAGATACCTAATAAAGAAGACTCTGAGATCTAGAAAGTAGGTCTTACGTAGTGGAATATCAGTCCTAAACACGTCTGAAAGATGTACTTTGGTTGAGGTTGGTTATCAAAATGATTGTCCCTGTGGGTGTCTTCATAAAAATTCCAAAATGGTCATGATAACTCCCTCATTCCAAGTTCGGACCTGTGCTGTTCCACTTATCATGTTCATTTTGTGTTCCAGTTGTGTTCTAGTGTCTCCATGCTTCGTTGACCTTTCCGTATAGGCGAAGCTCCATTCACGACTTTGTAGTCCGATCAATGGATTCAATTTGGCGCAATGTGTATGGCGTTCTATCTCTCTGTTTTTTTACGACCAACCAAACGAGACGGTTTTATTTTTCGCTCCGCTGACACCGCATGACCCAAATAAATCCAGAAGAGCAAATGGGTCATTCTTCAAAACAGAGAAAATATGATGTAACTGGTTGATGGAAATTATGATTAAAATTCGAAAAACAAAAAGATGATAGTTTGAGACTTGTGCTTCACATGAGTTAAAGGAATAACGAAAAAAAAAAATCGTATAGTTTCCATTTTTATATGTAAAAACACCTCTGAAATCACCGAGGAAATGACCTCCATGGACTTAAACTATAGCTGTCATATGGTTTAGTGAAATCGATCATAAACCTCTGAAAAATACTATTATGAGATTACAAAAGGAGGCATCGTAGATAGAAACAATTTCAACACTCGAACACATTATTTGTATTCACTCAGGACGGCTTGTACAAAGATATGACCGTTTATAAAAATACAACATCGACAAGTGATTCGTTCTGATGCTACGATGCTAATGACTAAACCTGCTTCAATCTTCGATCAGACGATGATTACGAATACGGATGAGTCGTCGAGGCCGCTTCTTCTCAATTACGGGGTGATTTGAACATCGTCGCTAACACTATAATGTAACTATTTTTCAGTGAATATGTTCTGAAGTGATTCAACAATAAGCAGAGTCTAAGCAAAGAAAAAGTTTGACCAAATTTTATTGTGAAATGTCATCATTAATATGTGACACCACCTGGTATTTTTGTCAAAACTACCGATAGGTGAAGCCTGGAGTAATGTTTCAGGGTTACATAATTTCACGCAAGAGTATAGTATATTTTCTGAATCATTTTTATGTTGGCGAACTTCATGGAATCTTTATTTATTCACAACCATATATGTAATGTTGTCATTACTAACGTCATCGAAGGTTGTGAAGTGTATTATTACACACCTCTACTTCTATTTCCCGCCCTCACTTATGTAATATATTAGGTATGTTCAGAACGAAACAGAGATGTATTGATTTTGATCGAAATATGATAGTTGTGAATAAAATAGTATACAAACGTACAAACCCGAGTACAAACCTCGGTAGGAAGTTTCATTCCTGTCTCGAGATCCACAGGAATTAATCTTTATTCCAGATTTTTTGGGATTTGCCCTCCTCGTTTCTATAAAATAAAAATATGAATATTATTTCAATATACGTCTAGTAAGGACATTTCAGATGATATGCCCCAAATAAAGAATTTTCCTATCAGAGAGCCTAAAAGAAAAATTCACTAGCTTGTCAGTGACAATTTCTATTGAAAAAGGTTTGGAGACGAGAAATAAAGGTATATAGAAAAAGAAAAAATATAAAATTTTCACTTATCTTTGAACGTTTCGGGAACGAATCTGCTCCCGTTTTCAACATTAAAAATGGTTATTTGTATAGCGAATTCGTATATTGAGATAATATTCATAATTCATATTTCTATTTAACAGAAACGAGGAGAAAAAATCCCAAAAAATCAGGAATAATGAATCTCTTCCCACTTCGGTGTGTAATATACTATCATTTCATGAAAGTAGATGATATTTAATATTGAGATGATCAAAAACAACACTCTAATGAGATTGCTATAATTTTTTAGTTGATAACATAATCTTTTTACGTCAATTTCTCGAAGAAATTTCTTGTTCCTGTTCAAATATCCAACTCCATATGCGGTATCGTCAACTCTATGGGAAGAGTATAAAAGATTTTTAAGCAGAAATTGATGAAAAAATCATCAAATTCTTTGCCAGTTGAGTATGAGATATATTATGTTCAAATACGTCAACTATAGATTAAGATTAATCGATTTTGTCCCCATCTTGAAGAATGACCCAAATCGGAAACTGTGGATTAGTGGATCACCGATATTTTTCGATTGATCATTCATCACTACTATAGTTATTGACAGTAGCAGTGAAAAATTGCCATAATACAAAAAGGAGGGGCTTTATGTTGAAAAGAGTCAAGGATATGTGCAGAGGGTTGGTTTCCCATAGGGTTCTTCAAATGATTAACTTCTGTGCAACACACTATCTCATTTAATACAGTTTTTCCCGAAAGATGATAGTTTTATTCGTTTGAAAACTTGGATATCGTGAGATTCCTTCTTATTTTAGGGCTTATTTTCCGGCACCCAAGAATCCAATCGATAGTTCCGTAACCCTCAACTGAATCAATAAGTAGATAGGGAGACACCTGAATGAATACTTGAACAGTTAGTTTATATATCATCACTTAAGGGTTGATAGACAAGAACACTAATTATTACAAAAGATACTACGACGTTCATCAGGATAAGGAAAGTCACGGATAATTTTTTTGAATTTTTCATTCCTTCGAGATTTCCAAAAATTCTGATCAGGTCATCTTGGGTTTCACAAAAAAGTAGGAAAGGAACGTGAAAACCGCAAAACTCTATCTCTAAGAACAACCGAGAAACGAACAACCAGTGTCAATCAAAATATAAAACAGGGGATCGACCTCACGAGAGGTTCTTTGCCATTGTGTTCTGTGTAGGTTTCGTTACTGACTCTATACTCCACTTTAGAAGCAGCTCTGTTCATTGGAACAAAACAGAGAATCGTGCAAAATCATCTCCGGCCAGGGCTACAAAAATTCGAATTATTCATAACTCGTTTTATACATAAAAATTGTCTGCTCTGCCAGGGATTCGATCTAGCCGCACCATTTTTCTTGATTTCCTCGTAAACATTTTTCCCCTCAATTCCAATCGAATAAAACGAAAAAAAAAAAAAAATACCCCTCGCAGTAAGCACCTCATGTAAATTTCATCAACCTATAACGCAGAGCATTTCAGCGGCGTGTTATACCGTTTAATGCCCAAAATGGGGCATTCGTCTAGCGTTAGAGCCCCTTCCAGGGCAATAAATAAGCTTCTCCCTCGCTAAGGGTGTTCGTACGAATATATATCGGCACTTGCACTGGGGTGCATGAGTCACGCCAGAAGACGATTAAGTACACTTTGCACCGGTGCATCGACAGATAAAACCTCTCGATTTATTTACATATACAGTGTCGTTCATAAAATCGCTGAAAATTATTGAATTGAAAAAAATACTGAGGAAAGTTCTTTCTATTCCAATTTAACATATGTAAATTACAAATAAAATACAAATGTGAGCGTTCTATAACGAATTTTAGTCATGGATATTAATACCGACAAAACTGTTTCATTATTTTCATTCTAGTAGCTTTATCATGCTACTAACTTTCAATCACTAATTAACGACAAAAATATGATTTTCTTCAGAAAATGATATTTCAAATAGAACCCCGCACCGCAATAGGGGGGAAATTGGCTTTCGGTGAATTTTCTCGAATTTTGGATATATCATAGAACTCGTGATGCTGATCAGATGTCTCAATTATCAACACTCTAAATTCAATAGTTTGGATTATACAGGGTGCTGACATTGACTTTTTCAAAATTTCAAATGGCCATTGTGAAGTTTATTTTTTGAATACCAAAATCAAATCGACTACGTTTTGTTTGTCCATGTAGCCGGTGAAAATCCACTATAGAGTTCAATGATATCTGCACGTACTCACGATATACAGAGATGGTCCAAAAATAGCAAATATTCCAATTATTTCCGAGAAAGTGAGCGGTTGAAATCAATTGATTTTTTGGACATTTTGTAGTATACTAATATCAACATCGACTCATCATAATTGCATTTCTTGAATCAGACTACATGTTATACACAAGATGTTCAAGTTTCCATGGAACCGCACCCGTCCTGATATTCATATCAATCGAATGATTGGAATCCAGTAAAACTTGGTGAGGAAGTTGATAATTCGTGATGACAATATTTTATGCTAATACCTGAATTATTCAGGGTGGTTGTGAAAGTAGTAGTAGTAATATTAGTAGTAGTGGTAGGTAATCGAATAATAATTATCAAATGTGTCTGTTGTCGAATTAATATCACTTCCAGAATTAATATATATTAATAAAAATATCGAAGATATAAACAATAACTAAACCAGTTTGAAAATATTTGAGGTGCTTAATCTGAATCTTCAGTATTGAAAACGATTATTCTCAGATATATTCATGAGCACAAATGATGTATACTGAGTGGTACGTTCACTGAGAAGAAAGTTCACTCGTGGCCAATAAAATTATCATTGTGGCAAATGATGAGTTTAGGTTTGTTCATATGCAGGGTGCCTCAAGTTATCCTATGAAGGCAATATCTCGCTTATTCGACAAAATTATTGAAAAACAAAGAACGGCGTATGGAATCAAAGTATACCTTCCTAATGACTATTACAAAAACCAGAAAAATACAATTCAAAAGAAAATATGCAATGAGAAATGGTCTCTGGAGGTTCGATGAACCCAATTTGCAGTTAAATAATAATATGTCTTTGTAAACGATGTTTTCACTTACTTTTTCCTCCTCATTTGTTCCAATAGTGATGAAACTTTTGATCATAATTATTTGTATTTTCAGCCTGATTATGACTCCTAGGAGTCGAAACATGTATAGTTTATGAAACATTGTTCAGAGTGAGACTTATTTTTTCTTAAATAATTTGATAAACATTTTTTTCAACTAGGAAAAAAGGGGAATGAAATGTGAAATGGTAACAAAGAGAAAGAAACTCAAAGTCATTACCACAATAGTACATGAATGAACGAAAATGGTATATAACGAGAGAAAAACAACTACTTTCCTGGCTATATGCCACGCAGAGCATTGAATTACATCCTAATTGAAAACATGCAGTCCGGCAATCAGCCACTCCCATTTCTGTGTTTCTGCCTCAGACGGCGTTGTGTCATTTCGCAGTGGTCGAAGCTGATAGGTGTTTACGTTGGTCAAGGGTCGCACATGATGGTGGTCATGAATGCCATCTGGGGACACCCTTGCACTGATTAGAGCTACAGTTCGGAACTGACCTGTAGGTAGTCAAGTGCTCCTGAACAATGTTAGGAAAGAAACACTCGCATTCGCCTAAACGAATCGTTGCGTACATTTCCGGAGGATGTAATTCAATGTTCTGCGTGGCATATAGCCAGGAAATTAGTTGTTTCTCTCTCGTTATCTACCATTATCGTCCATTTTATAAACTATTGTGGTAATGGCTTTGAGTTTCTCCCTCTTTGTTAACTCTCTTTCAAATTTTCAACGGTTGAAAATTACGATGACTTCCATTGCAGGACCATAATACTGGGCGTAGTTCTGTTCCTAGTCGAGTACGACCGAAGTCAGCAGTGCGTCCTGTTGCTATGGAGTCTCGTAGTTGGCTATCTTGCTATCCTAGTCCTCTCAATGGCCTTGGAAGTGAGCGTATGCGCAGTAGCCATACGTGGAAGCATCCTCGATACGGGAAAAAGGGCTGCAATGCAGTATATACTCTACCTCAGACTGAGTAAGTTCCCATGTATTTCCAATTCAGATTATTATATTAAAAAGTTTTGTCTTGGAATATAGAACCAGATTAAGTGAGTCAGTTATAAGGATTTCTTGTGATTTTCTGTTCAAATGTTTGTAAATTCCATCCAGATATAATTTCAATGGAATATGTGGATCTATAATTCAGGAAGAGAGAAAACGACTCAGCAACGTCTATACTGTGATATAACAGACTGGAGGCTTGCTGATAAGACTCCTCAGCAATTGGCGCCCAACGTGGGGCAGGAAAATAATTTATTGATGTAATAACAAACAGAAAGGAAGCTTCTACTGATGAATATAATCAACTTGCGAGATTGACAATCACTCCTAGCCAAAACATTGGTTGTCATAGAAATAATCATCAGGCCCACTTCAAAACTAGTACATGAATCTGTTGTGCTGCAACTACGTCCCTGAGAAGTCTTATCATCAAGACTTCAGTCTATTCTGTTACAATACTTTGAGAGAATGCATTTGGGTGGAGAAATGAGTTACTAATGAGTTGATGATCATGAATAAAAAAAAATTATTAGAGCTATGTAAATAGTATAACAATTTTATTTTCCAGCTGTGATGATCATTGAAGCCGCATGGCTCTCAGCAGGCATAGCCTGGCTAGTAAACTATTATTTAGACTGTCCTGTAGATAAAGCGAAGGAAACCGTTTTAGGTGAGTTCTGGCTCTGTGGTTTAAGTTGTCTTCCATTACATGAAAATAGAAGTTTTTTAGCAAATTCTCGACACTGCATTCTTAGATGGAATTTTATTCTTCCAAAATAGTCTAAAGAGTCTCTTGCAACAAGTGATTTGATACGATTCACTTCTGACCCTTGATATTCTCGATGGTTTTCAGTTATGGTAGCTTTCAATTGGTGTATTCTTTTGTCCGTCATAATAACTGTTTGGTGTACCTATGACAGTGCTGGACGCTCTTGGGTGAAAATGAAGCAGTACCAAAGATCCATGAGGGAATCTGAGTCCAAATTCCAGTACAAAAGATCGGGTAGTACTAGGAACTGGAGGCAAAGGTACTGAGACTCAATTATCATTATACCACTCAGCAATTCATGGTTCTTTTGTTTTCAGGAAGGTTCTCAGGGCTTATCAAGACAGCTGGCATAATAGATGTCGTTTCTTATTTTGTTGTTCCTCTGCCCACGACAGAAATCGAAATTCCTTCACTGACATAGCCAGACTGCTGTCGGATTTCTTCAGGGATCTAGATGTCGTACCGTCTGATGTTATCGTGGGGTTGGTACTGTTGAGGAAATTCCAGAAGATCGAGCAAAAAGCTATCGTCGAACAGGTAAAGTATATTGCTTAAATTCGGTTCTATTCTGAAGATGATTTTTTTCAGCGAAAGAATGACACCTACGAGTTCCTATCTGGAGTTCCCATAACTCCCAAGACAAATTTTTTGGCATTACATGAAGATGGCAGCGACTTGGAACTATTTCAAGGAGTCATACACTACGCCAACTTCGCTGTCCGAGCTTACGGTTGGCCCATATACATGGTGACCAATTCCATGGGACTGTGCCATCTATGTGCTGGCTTGAGGTAAGCAAAAAAAACGGACCGATCGGCATTCTGAAAGAGTCGGTGAAATTTGGAGTGGGGGGTGGCGCATTCCCCGCAATCCCTACTGCCTCCCACTATCGTATGTGTTATACTTGCAGGTGTTGTTGCTGCATTCCTTGTCGGAAGAGTGGAGAAAGTCCTCAGCCAGAAATAGTTGAGGATAATTGTTGTCGTTGTAATTTCGTCACTTTACAGAAACTCGTCGATCACGGAGACATTGAAATAATTTACGCGACCTATCACGTTGACGTAGGACAAACTCCCTTTTTCGTCGCCATTGATTATGATCGCAAAAAGGTCGTTATAAGCATCAGAGGAACTCTATCCATGAAGGTAGAGGGAAATTCGATGTCATCAAGCTTTCACCTAAATTTGTTTTGGGTTTTTAGGATATTTTGACGGATTTGAACGCAGAAGGAGAAACTTTGCCCTTGAGTCCGCCTAGGGACGATTGGTTAGGACACAAGGGCATGGTGCAGGCAGCACAGTATATATTGGAAAAACTGGATGAAGAGCAGCTCATCGAGAGAGCTTGGTCGCATAAAGTCGAGCGAGGCACTGGCGATTTCGGCATAGTGATCGTTGGACATTCTCTTGGTAAGAAAGAAGATTCTTTATCACTTCTACAAAGAAATTCCATTGCTGTTCATCATCTGTGTCTGCCTATTTTTCACATTATGATAGAAACTTCTATAAATGTGGCTTCTTTTCCTTAGATTTATGTATAAAACATCGGACTCTCATTGATAGTGACGAATGAAAATTACATTGTAATCAAACCACCGCTAGCGAGTAGACTTATTAGTTGTATCAATCAACATTCAAATGACAATCAAGATACCAACACCAATCACTACAAGTGAATAAGCTTATTTGATATGAAGTGTATTGAAACTTGAATTGAGAAAATATCAATAGCAATCTGTGGCCGGTCCTTCTACTCTGCTATCTCGTTAAATGAATACCCTGCTCAATGTTCCCTCAGTTCTCATTCCATACCGGCCACGTTCTGCCCAAGTGATATTCTTCAATTCATTCAATAACCCAGTCTGAACAATTATATAAGTGGTCTCTAACTGATGCAAGATCATCGCATGAACAGTTTACGTTAACTCAAAATAGTACAACTAGCAGTTATTTTGTGATAAAACTTAACTGCGCCGACAAACATTATGCACTCTGGATCATACCATTTTACTCAATAAATTATATTCGATAGGTGATACTTATTGCTCATTTATGAATATCACATGTGGAGTGCCGCAAGGAACAGTATCGGGGCCAATTTAATTTTTAATTTATATCAATTCAATATCAACTTGGGAATTGGAAAGAAAACCCAAATTATTCGCAGATTTATGCATTGAATCGAAAAAATGTAATGATATCGAACGGGATAATGAAAGTGATTTGAGAAACATATTATCTTAGATGCAAATTCACAAGTTAACAAATTTTCATATATGTATATCTCCAAGAGATTTTGTAGTATTTTGAGTAATGCAATAACTTTCAACAATAGATTCATCAATTATACAGACGTAACAAAATTTTGCATCAACATCATAGAGTCCATGTTGATGCAAAATTATTGTGGACTGAACACATAGACCATTTGATGAATAAAGTGAATCCAATCATAGGCATGCAATTCAAAATCAAAAATATGATTCCAATAAAATACTTGAAGTGTGGGTATCTACTGTAACCTAACCTGACTGTGACCTCATAAGATGAAATTTGGTTTGTCAAGGTGCTGGAACAGCTAGCATCCTCGGCATACTTCTCAGACAGAGGCATCCGGACCTTCTGTGTTATTGCTATTCGCCACCAGGCGGTCTTCTGTCCTCTCCTGCTGTCGATTACACCAAGGAGTTCACTGTGTCGGTAGTGGTGGGAAAAGATGTTGTTCCTCGGATAGGGTTGCATCAAATGGAGACGCTGAGGACTGACCTCATAAACGCCATAAAGAGGAGTGTCGATCCCAAGGTAAGAAATTGCCTCTCAGAATCAGTCCTGTGAAATAAAAATAATGTTTCACTTAATTGTATGATGATTTCCATGACAACAGGAATCAGAGTTGTTTATTTTATTAACAATATTGTGTGAAACCTTTCAATCGATATGTAGGCGCGATATTGTACCTATATATAAAAAGAGTTCGATAAATGAACTAAAGATACATATCATTGGATATGCCACACACTAACTATACCGTTCGCGTTCCCATCAGATTATCAATTATTAACGGTCCTATGGGAATTTCCTAACAATATGTAATATCTCTTTGTCCCATATGAATGGGTGTGTAACCAACTTGTTAGCAATGCAAATATAGGGATCATCATTATTCGGGTTCAGGAGACAAGTTGGATTTTTGTTTAGTTCTCTTTAATACCTAAATCGTTATATCTAACGAATGAATTAACCGATATTTTTCCGGTTTGTTGAACATGATCTGTATAAAATGAATGATCGTAGCTTCGTAGTGACCATTTAAAACATTGTATCGATTTCCCACTTATGGAAATCCAACACTATTTCACATTCACACGCTTCAATAACTGTACCTGAAAGATCATGAATTTGAGAAAACATCTCTTTTTTCTTCAACAATCTGACTCATGTATGAAAAATCTCATGAGCCGTCGTGATTTTATCATTATGGAAGCGAAAAAAGTTTGCCCTAACTTTTCCAGCGACAAAACGGAACCTAGCATTTGAAAGCATGATGGCAATCAAAATTGTGAACAGATCTTTGATGGCGTTCAAATCAACTTCTCAAACTTGCATTCTCAGAAAATCTGATCTAATCTATAGAAATGTTGCGATTTGAGGAGACTTCGAGTGGAGAAATTGAAAAAACGTTCAACAATAATGTGATTTACCAATTCATTGAATTTACCTACCGAATAGCACTCAAATTTTCTTTGAGTCGAAGTGAAGATGTCAATCTTCAATTCATGTTTAGTTACCTCAAAGAAATTCAACTCGAAAAAGTTCCAGGCCAACAAAATTCTTATCGAAATGTCAAGTTCACTCGGGCAGAAAAAAATCTCTCGTGTAATTGAAAAAATGAAGAAGATAGACATTTAGAGAGAGAATCAAGAATTTATGATGAGTTCCAAATGAATTGACCTCAAAGATATACATTATTCTAGACAAAACATCATTTTTCTCATGAAAAATTTCGAGTAGCAGCTTCTTGTGCCGTGGCTGCGTTCAACCCACCTCGGCAGTGGTGTCCACCGGACATCTTTGTGAAATTTTGACAGAAACATTAAGGAAGGGAATCAAGAATTTCTAGATTCCCGAATAAATTCAACTCAAAGACATATATTCTGGACAAAACTATAATGTTTCCTATGAAAAATTTGAGTCTTCATGTTTTGTGCTTTTGCAACGTCCTGTGCTGCAGCTGCTCTCATCTTTGTGAATTTGTGGCAAAAAATCATTTAGGGAGAGAATCAAGAGTTTCTCGAATCCCAAATAAATTCAACTCAGAGACATATATCCAGTGGGAAATCATCGCACGTAGCAGCTGCAAGAATTTCTTATAAAAAGTCACGAAGCAATTGAACATCAAGACATATGCTAGACAAAAAATGAATTTCCTCACAAAAAAAAGTCGATTCATCATGTTTTATGCCTTTGCAGTGGAAAAATAATTCAACACAGACATATTTTAGAAAAAAGTTCTTAAGGAAAATGTCGAGTCGTCATGTTTTGTGCTTTTGCAGTGGAAAAACATCGCCTGCAACGTCCTCTGCTCCAGTGCTGCAGTAGAACTTTCCACCGTAGTGAAAGATGTCTTGAAGTACATGCGCTGCAATGGAAACGCTTGGTGTTTAGGGCTGCACACCTCAGACAGCTCTATAGCCTTCACAAACCACCAGCCCCTTTTCCTCCAGTCCCGAATAAATTCAACAGTGACATATATTCCAGACGATAAATGAATTTTATCAAAAATAGTCGAGTCGTCATGTTTTGTGCTTTTGCAGTGGGAAATCATCGCACGTAGCAGCTGCAAGAATTTCTCATTATAAGTCACGAAGCAATTGAACACAAAGAGAAAAAAATGAATTTCCTCACAAAAAACGTCGATTCATCATGTTTTATGCTTCTGCAGTGGAGAAATAATTCAACAGAGACATATTTCAGAAAAAAATTCTTAAGAAAAATGTCGAGTCGTCATGTTTTGTGTTCTTGCAGTGGAAAATCATCGCATTCAGCATCCTTTGCTGCGGCTGCTCCTAGCCTACGTCGGCAGTGGAACTGTCCACCAGGGTAAAAGATGTCAGCGAGTACATTCGCTGCAAAGAGAACGCTTGGTTTTTGGGGCTGCACACCTCGGACAGCTCCATAACCTTCACAAGCCACCAGCCTCTTTTCCTCCAGTCCCAAATAAATTCAACAGTGACTTATATTCCAGACGAAAAATGAATTATATCAAAAAAGTTCGTCATGTTTTGTGCTTTTGCAGTGGGAAATCATCGCACGTAGCAGCTGCAAGAATTTCGCATTATAAGTCACATTCTAGACAAAGATAAGAATTTCCTCACAAAAAACGTCGATTCATCATGTTTTATGCTTTTGCAGTGGAAAAATAATTCAACAGACATAAACTACTCAACACTAATTTCGTCGCACACCAAAATGTCGCCCCTGTTATAATGTGAATAACTTTTTTCAGTTTGAAACAATTTGAATTTGGTTCTCACTGTTCGATAGCCCAGCCTTTCAGCTATAATCTGGTAGTTCATTGAAACATAAGGGTATCCACATAAAATCTCTACATGGTGTTTTCCGACACTGTGCGAAATTTCGGAATATTCAAAATACTCTCAAATGGTGAAAAAAAATTTTTTCTCAACTTCGACAACAAAGGCATGAAGATGATCTCATTACCTCGAGATATTTCGCGAATCAACTTCCTATCTCTCTCATTTACAGAGTGATCTCAAAAAATCAAGTTTTTGGTTTTTTAGCCATAACTTTTTTCCACGTCAACCGATTTTGGAAATCTTGAGCTCATTTTGAAGATAAAACTTCAGATGAAGAGATCTGAATATCAGAATTGACTCAAGATGACTATCAAAGATCTAGAGTTTTCTTGAAAGTGACCCAAATCTGGAACGCCCTTCGAATCTTGGTTGGGAGGAGAATTGAATGAAAATCAACTTTTTCTCGGAAAAACAATTCTTTCTGGATGCGTCCATATTTTCCTCGCTCTCAGTAGTCAAGAATTGTGCGTGAGAAAACACAATTGAAACATGTTCTTGCAAAAACATTAGATCATTTCTCCTCTGTAATGCATGGCCCGCCGTAACCAACGTTACAAGAATCACAATGAATGACTGACAAACCCGACCAGCTGAGGCTCATCAAGAAAGGTATACCAACAAGAGCAACGGACTTCGATTTTTTCAATAAAGTGATTTTTTTACCAGTTGTCACGTACATAACATGCGATTTAAGAATATAGAGAAGTATTCAAGCAAACAACGTTTATTTATTGTAAAAACGCATTTAAAAAATGGTGAAAGTTTCACGAAAACAGTTTGCCAATTACGTAAAGTTTTCAGTCGCAATAATGCGCCGAACGAATCGACAGTAATAACCAAACAATTCGTGTCGGAGATAAGCCCTTTGAATGGATCGGACTGTCGTGTTTAGCAGATCCGCGATTAAGGGAAGATAACCCTTGTTTCCTCATTTGTGGAATCAGTTCCAACTGGTCGGGCCTTAGATGCTGCATCGAAACTATCAAAATCTGTTTATGATTCGAAAACGACGTCTAACTTGACTTGTCAGTACTTACTGTGATTCTTGTAACGTTGGTTACGGGCCATGCATTACAGAGGAAAAATGGTCTGATGTTTTTGCAAGAACATGTTTCAATTGTGTTTTTTCACGCACATTCTTGAGTACTGAGAGCGAGGAAAATATGGACGCATCCAGAATGAATTGTTTTTCCGAGAACAAGTTGATTTTCATTCAATTCTTCTCCCAACCGACATTCGGAGGGCGTTCCAGATTTGGGTCACTTTCAAGAAAACTCTAGATCGTTGATAGACATCTTGAGGCAATTCTGATATTCAGAACTCTTCATCTGAAGTTTTATCTTCAAAATGAGCCTAAGATTTCCAAAATTGGTTGACGTGGAAAGAAGTTATGGCTGCAAAACCAAAAGGTCGATTTTTTGAGATCACTCTGTAAATAAAAGAGATAGGAAGTTGATTCGCGAAATACCTCGAGGTAATGAGATCATCTTCATGCCTCTGTTCTCGAAGTTGAGAAAACTATTTTTTTCACCATTTGAGAGCCTTATGAATATTCCGAAATTTTGCACAGTGTCGGAAAACACCATGTAGAGAATTTATGTGAATACCCTCATGTTTCAATGAACAACCAGATTATAGCTGAAGGACTGGACTATCGAACAGTGTAAACCAAATTCAAATTGTTCTAAACTAAAAAAAGTTATTCACATTATAACAGGGGCGACATTTTGGTGTGCGACGAAATTAGTGTTGAGTAGTTTATTTTAGAAAAAAATTCTTAAGAAAAATGTCGAGTCGTCATGTTTTGTGCTCCTGCAGTGGAAAAGCATTGTCTGCAGCATTCTTTATTGCGGCTGCTCCCAGTCCACCTCGGCAGTGGAACTGTCCACAAGAGTAAAAGATGTCAGCGAGTAGTCTTCACAAGCCACCAGTCCCTTTTTCTCCAGTCCCAAATAAATTCAACAGTGACATATTTTGTATACAAAAATGAATTTTATCAAAAAAAGTCGAGTCGTCATGTTTTGTGCTTTTGCAGTGGAAAATCATCGCAAGTAGCGGCTGCTAAGTCACGAAGCAATTGAACGCAATGACATATTGTAGACAAATAAATGAATGTCGATTTATCATGTTTTATGCTTTTGTAGGGGAAAAATAATTCAACACAGACATATTTTAGAACAAATTTATTAAGACAAATTTCGAGTCGTCATGTTTTGTGCTCTTGCAGTGGAAAACCATCGCTTGCAGCGTCCTCTGCTGCGGCTGCTCGCAACCCACTTCAGCAGTGGAACTGTCCACTGGAGAAAAGGATGTCAGCGAGTACATGCGCTGCAAGGAGAACGCTCGCTGTTTGGGGCTGCACCCCTCTGACAGCTCCATAGCTCTCACGAGCCACCAGCCCCTTTTTCCTCCAGGTAGAATAGTCCACATCGTCAGACACCATCCGACCACCGGGCAGTAAGTACAAATTAGTGCATGGTTTTTCTAGAACTCATACAGGAAGGAGAAAAGAAACTTTATGAGAGTCTGAATTCTCTACTGCTGAATAGGCAGGGTAATATAATTATCATTGATATTCTGGGTTCGGATTCTTTGGGTCAATATATGGCAAGAAGTTCATTAACCCCCCTCTTTGATTTTTGAACATTGACAGATAAAAATAGCGACTGCGTGTCATCTGGAAAAAAAATAAATGGAAAGGGGGTACATCCTTTTGAAGCTTCTGACGATTACTTCACAACCCTAGAATATAAGTTCAATATCTCCACATGCTACAAAATGACGGAACATTCTTCAGTTGCCTTTTATTCATTACAGTCTGGTAACGGTGGTGGGAACAGAATAACGTTTACGAATAAAACGACAAACTTCATGACCTTGCTAGATGGCTCCGAATAATTTCTAGATCTTAATTCTAGAGCTAAAAATCAAGAAGATTAATTGATGTATGTTATCTGCGTTCGAGGTAACTCATTTTATCTGGGAATGAATATATGTAACCTGTCCTACCCGTCCTACCTACTCGAAGAAATCATAAGCTTTTTTCTTATTATACATCAATGACATGGCCAATTTGAATATATCAGGTAGTTTCACTTTATTTGCCGACGATACTACCATTCAATGGAATGACAAGAATGAGGCTAAACTATTTCAAACCATTTCTAGAGATGTTGACCGCATTAAAGAATGGTTTGATTCAAATTTACTATCATTAAATATCTCTAAAACAAATATACTATGCCTCCGTTGCAATCTGCCTGCACTGCTACTAGGCAATGATACCATAGAGAGTAAAGAGAATACAAAATTTCTTGGACTACGGATTGATGCCACATAGAAATTCGATACTCACATCTCAAGTCTCAGTAAAAAGTTGGCTTCGGGATGCTATGCCATGCGAATCATTTCCAACAATTTGGGATAGGTATACTGCTACCAAGTCAGCTTATTATGCCCTTATAGAATCCCATCTAAGCTATGGCATTGCCTTCTGGGGAGTCTGTAGAAAAACACTTTTTAAAGAAATTTTCACTCTACAGGAAAGAGCCGTTAGGTACCTGTGTAAAGCAAAATTTAGAGAATCTTGTCGGCCTTTGTTTGCACGTCAAGGTATTCTTACTCTCACTTCACTTTTCATTGTAGAATCAGTCAGCCTAATTCATAAAAATGAAACAAAATTAAAAAATAATTCAACAGAACATATAACTCGGCAACAAAATCATCTGAAATTACCTTCACCATCGACTACCCTGATCAAAGACTCGTTTATATATAATGGACTGAAGATGTATAACCAAACCACCTACCTACCTACGTAAAGGACATTAAAGATCATAAAATATTCAGGAAGAGTCTCAAACAGCTATTTGCTGAAAAGGCTTACTATGAATTAAAGGAATATTATAGTGATGTGTTTTAGTATTCATCTTAGAAATGTGAATCGTTATACCACATGATGATCCTTCTCATGCCATATTTTATCTTTCACATTGTTTTAAATTTCTATTATTGTATGTTACGTACTTATGTTTTATCTTCTCTTTGTCTACAAGAGCTTTTTCTTCTGACAATAAAGAATATTCTGATTCTGATTCTGATTCTGATTCTGATTCTGATTCTGATTCTGATTCTGATTCTGATTCTGATTCTGATTCTGATTCTGATTCTGATTCTGATTCTGATTCTGATTCTGATTCTGATTCTGATTCTGATTCTGATTCTGATTCTGATTCTGATTCTGATTCTGATTCTGATTCTGATTCTGATTCTGATTCTGATTCTGATTCTGATTCTGATTCTGATTCTGATTCTGATTTGATACTTTGAAGCTTATTATTTCTAGCATTTGTTCGAAATTGTAATTGCAATTTGTATTCAGATAGTCCGAAACGATATTTCCTACTTTCAAAAGTTTCGTCTTTCATCAATCTCTAATTTCATTTTTCTACAACTGTCAACAGTCATTCCACGTCATTCCTTGTAGTGAAACGGAATGAAAAGTAGCAACTGGAAACGGAAAAGTTGCAAATAAAACGACACAAATAATTGCCTGAATATATCGACGTTTACTTCCCAATTTGAGGAACTAAGCTGATTTTAGTTCAGAAGATACTCGAAATGGTTGCCTTGAACTTGACATAAGAACAGCCTATTGGATATTTTACGCCGAACACTTTCGAACACAGTTACGTCTTTATTTCTACAAATATTTATCATTCTTTGTCGTATATCAAATATTGAAGCAGGTTCAATTCCGTACACCTTTCGCTTCAAATAGCACCATAAAAAAAGTGTAAAGATGTCAAATCTGGCGAGCGGGCTGGCTACTCCGTTGGACCTCCACGGCCAATCCAACGACTGGGGAAAGTATTATCCAAATAGTTTCTAACTTGTCTGGAGTATTGTGGTGGTGCTCCATCTTGTTGGATACAATATCCATATTAATGTGTTTTCTGCAGTAGCTGAAGATATTGACTCCATATTCTAGGGTTATGCATCAGTATTCGTCAGGAGCTTCAAATATGTGTCACAAGAGCCTCCATTTCTACTTCAAAATATATGCATCAATGCATCAATAATATTATCCCAAGTTTCAGTTTTTATTTTAGAATTTTAAAAATCATTGGAAGCAGTCGAAGAGTTCTTTGAAAATTGATGAAAGAATGTTTTCAAGAGATTCAAACTCCCCGTATATCCCGAACGAAACATTTTTGCTAATACAGAACTTTTTCAAATGTCTGACTCAAGAGATCTGACCATGAATAATGAATATTATATATACAATTTATACGTATATATGTGTATATTTCATTGATTTGATTGCATAGGTTATCGTGAGAATTTGAAGAGAATATCTTGAAATATTTTTTCAATATCTTTATAACTACCAGCACACCTACCCTTGAATTGCTAAGTCACACTGCAGTTATGTCATCCGAATTGCAGAGAATTTTTTTTCAATCAGGTAGTAGACGAGCAACGTCGGTTCTGAGTCATTTTTTCTGAATTCGAATAAAATGCAAAATTTTGAATGTTCCATGGCTTTGGTGGGTAGTAAATGATCGTTTCAAGTATATATTTTTCAAATTCTCGCCATATGAATGAAATGTTTTGTTGTGACTAGCACTACTAACCGAATATTTTAACAATTTCAGACAAAAGTATGAAAAAAGATGGAGGTAATACTAACACACATATTAACCCCAAACCTGATGCATGGTTAATGGGAAATATGATTATGAATCAACAGTTCTAAATTTTCATATTTCCCATTGAAGTCACGCATGTGGATCGTGAAGTACCTACCCTTGAATATTGAGAGAAAAGTGTGGACTTTGTAGGCATCTTGGAGTGTTTTGTCTATAGCATTGCATTTGAATACGAGTACGAATTAAAATTCATGGATATAGGCACTGTTGACATGATGAATTGTTTCACATTTGAAACGAATATTATTCATTGAGAATTATTCTTTGGTGTACCATATCGGAAAGAGTTCATACCATATGATGAATGAGAACAAACCCAAGCATGGAAAATTGCACTTATTGATATTAGAACAATCCCGTATTTTTTTTATACTTTTGTGGAGTCTTGGAGTGGTAGAATAATATGATTTGATATATGTGCTGAATTATGTGTTACCCTTTAGTTTTGACAGGTACCAAAATTGAACTTTTAATGGAACTACTGTCTTGTATTAGTAGGCTGCAAATTCTGACCGTCATGTGATAACGGCACGAACGGCACCTGTGCCACTTACTAAGCACTAAGCAAAATGTTTAAAAAATCGCACTTTCCTATGCGATAATAGGCGAGTGAACAATTTTTTTTTATTTCGTTAATAGAATCATCACTCAAACACTTCAATTTCATATTTTTTGAGAGTTCAATTTTCACGGTAATTTGCAAACGGCTAGAAACTTACCGTAGTAGGGGCAGACAATCGCACGGTTGCCATGCGTTGAAATACGATTGGGAACCTCAGAAATATTAGTTATTCGATAATCATTAAATTCTTAATTGAGTATTGGTAATACTTCCAATTAGTAATAAAAATTCAATTGTCTCAAAATGTTTTCTTATGATTTTTGGCTTATTGCTTAATAATAATTACATATATTAATTCACACTAGAGAACATTTGAGTTGGTGAACGTGACAACCGTCGCACGACTGACCGCAAACTTTAAATGCGCACAGTATGTAGTTAACGTCCAGATATTTGGAAAGTGCTCGAAAACTCATCCTCCTTGAATACGTATTTGCAAGCGCATATACATTGGTGGCTGAGTGCTTCCATCAGTCCCATCAATGGTGCTTCGAAATTTGTTTGCGCTGTAGCAATAATTCTTAGTCGATAATTTATTCGCCGGTAATGTGCATTACATCTCGACGCCGAAAAGGCATTACATTTTGATGGTCGGCCGTTAGTTCTCAAGGAGATCGGTGTTATTTAGGTGTTTTTGCTCAATTTATCTTGATCCTCCATTTGTGCTTCGCCGCAATCGGGTAGGAAGGCCCTACTGGTCGAAATCCCATAAAAATCATCACTCGGTCTGTTCTGCTGCTTCCAGACAAGCCCTGAACTCGAAGGAACCGGTCTACCAGGCCCTATGGGCAGCCAACGTGGACTTCGACGAAGTCCTCATCTCCCCAGTCATGATCCAGGACCACATGCCCGACAAAGTGCTCGATGCCCTCAACAAGGTATGCCTGCACATGACGCTTGCGCGTTACACCCACAAGGCGCACGTTTATTCCATAGAAGACGACATGGACTGATTGCGACGAACGTTCCATGTCGCATGTTATTGGTCGTTACCTATCCGACGAGCTGGAATTCACTTTTACCCTAGGCGGAGTTGCCGTTTTTAGTACTATTGTACTTTTCTAGTACATTTCATACACATTTAGTACGTCAATATAATTAACACTAATCTAGTACGAAAACACGAACCGGATATAGCCCCATGGGATAGCCCAAGCTATTATTGTATTCAAAACAATTATTTGGAGAAACTATGTTATAATTGGAATCCTAATAATGAAGCCCTCATTTATAAAAAGTCCATAATTTCCAATTCAACGGAGCAACAATAAACTGTTATTGATGAATTGATTTGATTTTGAAGTTTGAGTCATCTATTTTATCTTATTGATAGTATGATAGTATTTGATCTCAATCTGTAATCTGATCTGTTCCTTCTCATCTCTCATTTTCGGCTATTATTAGTAATAATTGTTTCATGACCAACGTTTTTCAGAGGTGTTTCAATGTGCTGTCTATTATTATTTGAAATCTTTATAAATGAATTTGAAGTTTTTTATCAAATGTGTGAATCGTAAATTTTTAAGTGTTATTCTCTCAATTTAGAACAATATACTTGAATCTGATACAATTTCGGAATGACTACTAGTACAGATTGAAATTGTGGAACGGCAACACTGCTAGGCCATATCCACATCCTGATGGCACGAATAATAATTTGTCTAAATGAGCAAATTTATCAAAATTTAATAAATTTTCATCCCGCTGTATAGTTCATGACAATTTATTGGACATAATATTCTTCATTTTTGTCGGCGATCAAATTTGAGTTCAGAAAAAATTCGGAAAGATATACAGTGTGACCCACTTCTAATGGAACCACCCCTGTATCTTACGTAATCGTTGGGTAAGGATCCTGAAATTTGCTGGAGCGAGAGATATACCAAAAATGCACTCTATGACCGAGTGGGGTCATCTTCAGTGATATACACTGCTCGCCAACAGCCATGAAACTACCCCAATTTCCGGAAAATGATATTAGGAGTCAAAATAGGTCGAAAATCACTTCAGATTTGGAATCAGGACGCCCAATTTACTGACTATTCAAATTTTTCCTGCAAAATTTTCAGTTCGGAAAAATGAAATTTTGTCGCATTTTTATGGAAGCACCCCCGTATCTCACGTAATTGACTTTATCTTTGGACTTTCTCTTCCTCCGGTAAATTTCAGAACCCTACCTCAATAATTACGTGAGATACGGGGGTGCTTCCATAAAAAATGCGACAAAATTTCATTTTTCCGAACTGAAAATTTTCCAGGAAAAATTTGAATAGTTAGTAAATTGGGCGTCCTGATTCCAAATATGAAGTGATTTTCGACCTATTTTGACTCCTAATATCATTTTACGGAAATTACTACCCCAATTTCCGGCTGTTGGCGAGCAGTGTATATCACTGAAGATGACCCCACTTGGTCATAGAGTGCATTTTTGGTATATCTCTTGCTCCAGCAAATTTCAGGATCCTTACCCAACGATTACGTAAGATAAAGGGGTGGTTCCATTAGAAGTGGGTCACACTGTATTATCGGATCCTCCGCCATTTTCATGACGTACTCAGCTGAAAATGTGAACCGTTTATGCCAGTACAGTTTCTCAAGATGTATCGATAAATCTAATGATTCAGGAAATCAAGCTATATAAAACATCATAGTATTGCTAACTTACCTGATTGAATGAGAATTATAGACGAAACATAAATATTAGTATATATCATAATGATTGATGATTATAAAATCGTGGGTATGAGGCTGGCAGCTCATGTTTGAGGTATATCATTCTAATTTTTGAATTTGTTGCAAGGTTGAAGAGATATTTTAATTTTTCCAATACATTGATAATTTAAGTCTGGCAACAGTGGTTGTGAACCTTATTCACACCTCAGATGAAAAATTGTGTACATTTATGTTGAAGGTTTGAGGTTAGATGACAGCTTACTTCGTACAATATAGGTCGCGTGCAAGAACTGTCAGATGACCGACCCTGGAGGCAAAACATATTTGTTTACAAGTGATCCAAATAGTCATCCACAATTATTTTGGCATATGAATCGTATTTTTCCGCTATTCATCAATTCGCTAATGCCATCACATTGTGCTGTTGTAAAATGCACAAAAACTGCAGTGGAAGATGAAGAAATCCGGATGGTACATTATGATTCAAAAGTAAGTACCTACTATAGTCACTCACATAGTTTTCATTTTTGAAATTTGGTTATTTCTCTGATTTCTCATCGGAATTCCTTCTGCAATAGGATCAGCTAATAGAAATATACCTGAAATTTCTAGAATAATGCAAGAAGATTGGATTCATGCAATCAATCGGTAGGACTGGTCTGACATGCTGACGATCGTGTGTGTTGTAGACATTTTCAATCTATTAGCAGCATTAGCTTGTATTGCAGAAGTGGCAGAAGGCAGAAGGAATTTTAATAAGGAATGATAACATTTCATAATGCTAACTATGTGAGATTACTATTTACCTGAAAAATCATATTCCCTAGTCTCTTGCTGCATTTTTTGTGCATTGTACAACAGCACAATGCGGGAAGGCATGCTTGAATTGATGAATAACGCAAGAAAAACGATTCGTATGGCAAAATATTGTGAAAAACTATTTCAACCTTTTGATTCCTCTGTAACCAAATAAAAAAGTGAGGTTGTGTTTCAATAATTCACAGAAGAATGAGGTTGTGTTTTAATATTTTGCCTCCAGGGTCGGTCTTCGTGCACGCGACCTATTCTTATTTATCGGGTAGCTAGTTACTAACGTAGGCGTGAAGTAAATGAGTCAAGAAGATAAATATCCCCATTCGTCACTGGATCTGAATTGCTGTATCTTGAAAACTGAAATAATTTGAATAATCATTTTCAGAAATCAGAAACCGAATTCTAGGTAGTTGGCCAATAATTCTTCCTCATTGCTCGTACAATAAAGTAACCCCACCTTTTATACAGATGCAGAACGGAGATATTAGATTTCATATATTTTAAAAAGATTTCATTACGGTCCGGGCCTGATGAATCTCTGTTCGGTGATAACCCGTCTGATCCCCTGTATATAAACCAACAACCAAAACGTCCACAGCAGAATTGCATTTTTCTAGAGCTTGTTATCGAATCTTTCAACTCAATTCTCTTTTATTTTGTGTATTGTAGAACAATGTAGCACGTTTTCGTAAATAATGAACTTGTTTACAAACTTTTGATTCACGGTTAGTGTCACCAAAGTAGAGCAGCAGTAGTATTTCGTTTGTACAAGCAAAAATGAAAGGTGTCGTGATACTGGGTGTTAGAAGGAACAGAATCTGAATAAAATCAAAAATAATGAAGAAAATAACGTTCCTAGAACTTTATCTACATCTGGTATAGTTGGGAAGTCCATAGAATTTTGTTTTTTATACTTGGAATAATATGCCAGTTATTATAGCTATTAATTCAGAAATAATACTGCAGATTTGTGTTCTTCGTATGACCTCCATCGGGTAAAAGTGAATTCTTGTCTCCTATGGAAAGTTAGCAAGGTTCCTCGTTGTTGAAAGACAAAAAAAGTCAATACGTGGCCTTTCTATACGCTTTCAAAGGTGTCACTCATAGATGCTTTCGGTGTTTAATTCTTAGGTTAGTCTGATGGATAGATTTAGTCAATGTTGTGTTGCTAGTTTTGATGTTTGCATCCGCCAAAAAAAGACATGTTTTCACTCAATGCCGGGAAAACTCCTGATTTTTATATCGTGTTACTAAGAGTCTTTAGTCACTAAGAAAAACTCCTTTAATAGTTGATAATTTATTTATTTTTTTTTGTATTCGAGAGCGATATTGATTTGAAATCATTCTGCTTATCACTCAACAAGAAAATATATTGAAATGTTGAATTCATTATTAATTTTGTATACATATATTCATTCAACAATGATTGAATGGGCCATCAGAAATGAACACCTCATAGAGCTTGTATTGCAAGAGTAAAGTAGAATTTCAGTTTTTCATTCACCTCATATATTTTTTTAATTATTCAACTGTTTTCCCGATCACCGGTATATAGGTTCTTCAAGTCGGTCCAGAATACTCGATTATCCATGGCGTATATTTGTTGTTTTGTGTACTAGTAGATTAGGTACATTAATTTTTGTCAAGATGTATTGAAAATCCTATATGCCGAAATTTTTTACTACATCTCATATCGAACGATCAAAAAAAGTGTTCATTGGTCTTTCGATATGTAGATCTACAGGGAGAATAATGTCATGTTTCCATATGCATTATTTATTATTTTTCATCATGTACTTATGTATTTTTTTGATTGTGTCTGATGATTAGTTCCTATTTATTGGCATTAAAGTTTTGTTGATTCTTTCTATTATTATGAAGTTGTCGTTTTTTTTTTAATTTGCTATGTAGTGACCCCAGCATCCTTCATGTCTCCTCATAGAAATGTTCAGATATAATGTCCTTACGTGTATAAACATGACGATCATTTTTGTGTTCCAAAAGGTGTAATCAGTAAAATATCAAGGAATTACTAGCTTCCTCTTAGTAGATTACGTTGAGGAACTAGAGGGAAAAAATATTGTTTTTCTTTCATATCTTCTTGCTTGTATACCTTTGATGAAAATTTTGTAGTCTAGTATTCGCAAATGAGTTATTCTTATAGAATTGATTCCATTTCAATAATTGTTCATTCAACACCTACGGAATTTTTTGTATTCTTCATCAAACCAAAAAAGCTTCTGCCTGTGAAGCCATTCATATATTTAATAATTATTACTGAATATAAATTTGAACTTTGAACCTGAATTTTGACAATCCGAATACACAGGGTGTTTCATAGAGAAAGGTTAATTATTCAACTGTGGATAGGGGCCACTGAGGTGATTTCAAAAAACCCATGGTTATAATGGGTCTCCGAGATACGGGATGTTTCATCAATTTTCCCATATCTTTATTGTCTCATAACTTTTCGACCAACCTGTATATTTTTTCGAAAATTGGTAGACTTACTCAATCTATCCTGTCGAATTGATTGAGGCATCAACGAAAGATAGAATCCGGGTCCGGCTTCACTTGAAATTAACTTTTTTTTTCTGTCCAAAAACAACACCCCATACATTTGAATTTCTCGATTTTTTGGCCATATCTGAGAAGAGCATCAAAATGTCTATGCGCAGACGATTTTTACTACTCATATTATGTGTCTACGTGAGTATTATACGTTTGCGAGGAGTATTTCATATCGTTCTTTGGATACATCCAGACTATTAGAAAATATAGTTGAAGGTCTGTCATCAAAACTATACAGAGGGCTTTTCACGATGAGCGGTAATTAGACGTTTTCGGTAAACCAGCCAATGGATAGATTTGAAAATTCGATGGTATGTATGAATTAGCATAATCTACACGTCTGAAATATTTGAAACGATCTGGCGTTGCCGCTTCTACTAGAAAGTAGCAGCAACTTCAAATTTTCAAATTGGACACCCTGTATTTCATTACATTCTTGGATTCTTTCTGAAGAGCTTATTCCATCGATCCACAACATTCGGGGTTTAGCAGGAGTGATGAATGAGATATAGGGTGTGGAAAATCGAGATGTTCCAACTTTAGAAATTTCTCGTATTGAAACTATTTATTATTGAATGGTCAAAGCGGCTTCCATGTCCCTATCCTAATTTTCCATTTACTATCAATTGATATTCAATTGAAACAGATACAGGGTGATGCAGAATTCTGAATTATGAACCACCCTGTATTTGTTTAGATTAAATGTCAGTAAGATAGGGACATGAAAGCCATTCAATAATAAATATTTTCGTCATGAAATATTTATAAAGTTCAAACATCTCGATTTTTCACACTCTAAATATCTCATTTTATTAGTCCCATTAGACCCCGAACGTTGTGAATCGATGAAGTCAGCTCTTCAGGAAGAATCCAGGGTGTCCCATTTGAAAAGTCAAAGTTACTGTTACTTTCAAGTAGAAGCGGCGACGCCGGATCGTTTCAAACGTGTATATCATGTTAACTTATACATACCTTCGAATTTTCAGATTTATCCGTTGCCTGGTTTGCCAGAAACGTCTAATTAACGCTCATCGTTAAAAGCCCTGTATAATTTTGATGACGGACCTGCTACTATATATTATGGTATTGAAGTCTGGATGGATAAAAAGAACAATAAGAAACACTCCTCCCAAACGTAATACTCACGTAGACTGAATAGGAAGTAATGAAATTGATGAATCTTCGTATATGATTTCACTTTATTTCCCAAAATAAGCAGAAATAATATTTTTAGCAAAAAATATGAGTAGTAAAAATCGTCTGTGCATGAATAAAAAGTGCATCGTTGAATAGACATTTTGAAAAATATTCTGGTTGGTTGGAAAATTATGAGACAATAAAGATATAGGCAAAATTGGTGAAACACACCGTATCTCGGTTATATATAAGATGTCGAAGACCCATTAACCATGGGGTTTTTGAAATCACTCCATAGTGATCCCTATCCACAGTTGAATTATTTACCTTTCCCAATAAAACACCCTGTATATGCAGTTGTTTTTTCCGATGTCAAGTTGTTTTGTCTCGAATTGAAAATTCTTAGTCTCAATTTGATTGAATTAGTTATGAGTATTTTGATATCTTCTGACTGAATTCGAGAAACTTCAATCAAATTGGAAAAGTACAGAATATTCAAATATTCAAGACGCTGATGGTTGGTTGTGAATCAACCCTCATAACGAAGTAAACCCCACCTAGTGTAGCACGTTTTTGATTGTTGTCCTTGTTGTCTTTATCGCACATCGAATTGGCATGACTCACCCCCCCCCCAAAACAAACTAGTGTTGTGCGCCAATGTCTGACAGCAAGGTGTGTGGACAGGTCCAGCTTGAGGGAGAAAGAAGACCTCACGGTACGCAAGACAGGGGGGGTTCAGCCCCTGTTGATTACAAACCACCCCCGCCTGACACCAGGTACAGTATGCCGTTTAGTAAATGAAACCCCTCTTTTTTGAATTTTTTGGACCGATACACAAAAATACAAAGTGTTCTCTGTGACTATTCAGTTCAATTTTCACCATTCACGTATTTATATGCCACGTAATTCAATCTTTTGAATCATGCATTCCGTGGCACTTGATATCTCCAAGGCATTCGATCGAGTCTGGCACCACGGACTCCTCGCCAAGCTTCTATCTTATGGCTTGCCTCCCCAGTTATGTTCTCTGCTAGCTAGTTTTCTCTCAAACAGGTCTCTCCATGTAGTGGTCGACGGAGTTTCGTCTGACTCTCTTATCATAAATGGTGGTGTTCCGCAAGGATCAATTCTAGAACCAACACTATTTCTACTCCATATCAACGATTTGTTGGAAGCAAATTCATGTCCAGCATCGCGGATGATAGTACCCTCCATACCGCCTTCTCTTCCAGGGCTTCAACACCAGTCAGGCAAATCAGAAACGAACGAGGGAGAAATGTTGACAACATAAATATGGACTTGGCAACAATAATTCTCGAATGGGGATCCAATAACTTGGTAGATTTCAATGCGAACAAAACACAAGCATACCTTTTCTCTAGAAAAGCCGATCTCACTTTGCCCAACATAAGCTTGTCAGGAATAAGCATACCTTTGAAGACATCCATTTCGATGCTTGGTATTACTATCAGCAATTACCTTTCTTGGGAAAATCACGTGTATTCAATTGCTAAAATTGCATCCCAAAAACTTGGTTTTCTGTTTCGGGCCAGGAGCTGTTTCACTTCCAGGCAGCTGCTTATGATCTATGAGGCACAGATCCGACCTGTCCTGGAATACTGTTCCCATATTTGGAGTGCAGCACCTAAACATACCCTGAAACTGTTGGATTCTGTCCAAAAAAGGGCAATTCGTCTCGTGGGTGATGTCTCGCTCACAAAGTCACGTACTTCTCTGGAACACCGTAGAAAAGTTTGAGATCTGGCTCTATTTTATAGATATTTCCATGGGCGATTTTCTTCTAAAATATCAATAATTGTTCCTCCCATGTCAGTTACCGCGAGATTAACCCTTCGAGTTGAGGTTTCGCACCCCTTCGTGGTCACTTTGGAGACCTGCAGAACATCTCTTTCCAGAGAGTCGTTCATCTAACGAACAGCGAGGCTCTGGAACACATTGCCAAGGGTGTTCCCCGAGGCATATAACCTCCAGAAATTTAAGAAGACTACCAATTCCTACTTTTTTTCCTTGGTTCTCACGATGTTCACTGAACATTACAGGATATCCCTTTTCGTGGGAACCAGAACATAAAAAAAATCCAATGATGTATTGCTCAAAATAAGAATAATGATTAACAAGACAAGTTTAGAACACTTTGTATATTTTATCTGGTTTTTTCCAATCGCTTCGTCTATCCGTTGATGTATCCTTAGAAAAATATAATTGGCGCTTGATATCAAAGTCTGAATTAAAAATTTTCTGAACGTTAGGAATAGTTTTGATACATTTAAGAACTCTGAAATATCATGAACACTTTGCAGTCAGATATGCATGTGCCTTAGAAAAATGCTTAGTAAATGTTTTCCACAGTGAATCAGTCCCCTATATAAGCACCACCAATTTATTTTTTTCAGCCCTACGACGTAAAATTTCTTTTTTTTTGCTTCGTTCAATCATAGATCTATGAATTAGTTGAATGTATGCATGAACACTTCGGAAATATTTATCTACGAATATTCATAGTACATGCACTCATATTGGTTCAAAGAAATATTCAGGGATCAGACAAGCCTGAATTTAAAGAAATTTATCCCCACAGGTTGTAACTACCATGGGCCCCAAAAAACCTCAACGCTCCTCCTCCACAAGCGATCCATCCTCCAACTACTTCTCCGCAACTTCCATTCCCAATTACTGCTTGGAAACCAGTTTCACTTCCCTTCAAAGCCCATCCAGTCAATCCTCCATCACCAACGGTTACTACTCCTCAAAAAGCCACCACTCCCCGCTATCTCTCCAGCGTTACCCCTCAAACTCACCCTCGAATGCATTCTTTCCCAAAAATCCCTTCTCTAGCCTCAAGAGTCCCTCTATAGGAACCCAGCATTCTTCTGAACCCCAGGCTATCACCAGAACGTTGAGTTTGAGTCTGCGCAGTTGTACCAGTCCGAAGGTCGATTTAATTCACGATGATTGGTTGGGGTTGGCACCCTTGGCTAGCCCTGAAAGTCTATCGGAATTGTCCAGTATTAGTTCCAGGACCAGTCTGGTTAAGAGCAATGTTATTGTCGAGGTCAATTCTACACCGAAGGTAAGCTAATGTTCACTTGAGTACTAGTAAGAAAATGATGGAAGTGCTTTTGCAGATCATGCGTAGGACTACTAAGATCATAGGCAATTTGAGCACCTGCGCTGATGATATTCGTAACGTCAAAAACTTCCAGAAAGCCAAAACGTTCACAAGGTTACTGACCAATAACAATGCAGAAAGCTCTTCGAGTAGTAATCTTAGCTACGAGTCTGCTTCAAGTAGCACTAAGTGCTGTGGAGGCAGAAGTACAGCTGAGGAAGTGTGCCAAACACTGGAGTGTGGGTGAGTTGAAAAAACAGATGGTAAAATTTGGCTGGTTCTCATAAGTAGAAGGAACTATGCGTATGTGCAGCCTTCGACAGAGTACTTGTTTTTCAATTACCCGATGAATAGTATTGATCACAGAAAAACTGTTTCAATAGAATCAGAAAATGTTATCGAAATCGCTTTCTCAGCCATTGGAACCGCTTTCTGGGCCATCGGAACCGCTTTTTGAGTCAATAGTATTTCTGGGTCAATTCCCTTGATAACACAAAACATCCGTAAGACGTCGTAGAAACATCCATATGGGATAATAGGAACATCTCTGAAAAATCCCTATTTTCCTTGGAACATTCTTGGGATGTTGCTGGCAACATTCGTATCAGCATCTGCGATGTCATATAAACATCCCATCAGAATGTTTGTGGGATGACACGGGATGTACCAGAGACATTCAGGATACTTGATATGAAGCATCTGCAAGAAACTTTTAGGATGTTTTTCGTTTGTTGACAGTGATGGATGACACGGTATAACATCAAATGAATTATTTTCGGTCTGAAGTTCTGAAAAGGGCCGACTTACTCCAAGATATAAAGTAACAAATATGAATGTAATAATATCGAAACATATAAGGTCAGTGCGGTCCAATAACTAATGGACGATGATAACAGTTATTTGAGGTTTATATTTATTGGCGCTGGACCGACGGCTGTGAGCAACTAGTAGCACTGTAGTTATTGTACAGCCATCTATCGGCTGGTAACGAATAGATCCAGCAATAAATATGCTGAACAGATATATTTCAATTTTGTCGTTTATTATATGGTTTAATGATGAAGGTAATAAGTATTAGATACTCATGCCTGGTAATCTTATTGTGAATATTCAGTATAAATATTTCGATTTGTTCTTGATCCAATTAGCCAGCTGTGGTTTAAGGTGAGTATATGAGTACGAGTTCTATTTCGATTTGCATACCTTTCAATGTTTCAAATGTCACAATTGTTTGAACTGTTCAATCATGTCAATCATCATTAGCAAAATACGTACAAAACCACTAAGTATCCACATTTGTTCGTAGAAAAAAATTAAATTGGATGTTTCTAGAACATCCAATGGAAACATCGGTTGGATGTCTCAGAAAAAACATCTCTGGGATATCGTACCCAAGTCTAAAGCATTGGTACATTTGTTGGACCTTAACGGGATATACCAGCAATATCCCGTGTTATTTGGGTCAGCAATGACGCATTCGATTGTAGCGTTTGATCAATATAGTTACTCTTTATCGATCAATTGAGAAACAGGTACTCTCTTGGAGGCTGCAGAAACGCATAGTTCTCTCTGCTCTTATCAACACAATACTTTCCACAGTGGAACTGAATGTGAACCGAGCGACAACGAATTTCAGTCGGCAGAAGATATTTTAGACAACGTACTCGCTAGCGCTGGTTGCAAAGAATTCTTCAACTCTGAATCTAACTTTCTGGAAACGCATTTCGACTTACTGCAAGAACAACTGTCTGATAGTCCGAGTGTAGGGTACTTTGGTTCATGCCCAACAACATATCCACAGGTAAAACAAAATCGAATGAGTCCAAACATATTTGCGGTATACAGATTGTTTATCAAATTTTTACATATAGGATTATTAAGGAAAGAAGGTATTTGGCAACATGACCAGTTACGCAGAATAGCGATTGTTTTGACTGTGGTGACTAGTGTTGCCAGGTCTACCGGATTTACGCTAGGTCTACTAAGAATTTATAACCTCCAGAAGTTGAAGAAAAAATCCAACACCTACCTCCTCTCCCTGTCCTCCCTAGGTGCGTTCGATGTTCTACGAACATTTTAGGAATTTCCTTTTGTGCGCTCCAAGAGATAAAAAACACTACCGCTCTACCGCAGGGCCACCAAACATAGCGCTGAAATTTTCATATCACTTTTGAATGCATTTATACTTGTATTGAACATTTTTATTTGTATTTATTTCGATTTAATTTGATTATCAAGATAATAATATAATATTTACAGCAATATTACAATTGATTGATTTCCTGCGGCAACATCTCTATTGCAGTTACCACACTACGAGTTCCATCGTCGACTGCGGATTAAGTATTACGTTTAATGTTTGGCTATTCTTGGCTGATTGATTATTCAATTTCAACTTTTTTATTTCTGTCAATCACCTAACTGATTACGTAACTAATAAACCACTAGTAGTTGGCAAATACTGCAATTTTCAAACTACATCTACCGTTTCATTTTTAAATCTCTTCTTCATGTCTACCGCTTATCTCATTCTTGATCTGGCAACACTGGCGAAAACGTACGATAGCCGACCGAATCAGTAACTCTAGCTATGTTGCCATTCACATTCACTTTATGTAACAATTTGTCAAACGATCTGTGTAAACGTGACCAATGTTTTCTTCCGCAGATGACATCCCCCACTTCCCCCTACGAAATCGACCCGGACCTCATCTCGAACCTAGCCATCGACCTCAACCTAGACCAAGAACACCGATCCCTCCACTTCCAGAAACCCCCCACCCGTTCTCACAGCCACCCCTCCAGCAGCATCGACTCGGGCAGCGCGTGTCGCACCCCCTGCGACCACCCCAAGAACGTCACGTTCAACCCCCAAGTCGTCACTGTCGACGCCTCTATCTGTGACCCACCCTATTCTCCACCCAGATGGCTCCACCTCTTCCGCAGCAAGACCGCCCGCCAGAGGGCGGAGCCACTCCCACCTGTTGCGACCGTCAGGCCCGGCGCACCAATCAAGACGATCCTGTCGAGCAAGAGACGGAGCGAAGAGAGTGAGGAGTGTTTTGCACGGACAGAGGCGTTGCCTTTGCTGAGTGGGTTGGGCAATAGTGCGAGTGAGAGGACGCCTAGTCCGGGTTTCGTGAGGAGGAAGAAGTATGTGTACCCTTCGGATGTGGTGGTAGTGACTCAGCATCCTAATGAGAGTACTGTTTAACTGTTTTTGACATTTTGAGGCTGTTTCGGGAACTGTTTGAACTAACCCTGTTTCGAATCCGATCGATGCTATAGGAGTATAGGGTGTTTTCATCATGTCAGTCCACTTAAGTGGTAGGTATTTCACTGAACGATCTGTTTCAGAGTAACTGCATTCGTCCATCGTCAATTAAAATGAAAGAGAAATCGAATAAGAAAGGAAATCCGTTCATCAGACTTAGTAGTGTCCCTTCAGAGTCACTGCTGATAATCCTATATCAGGGTTCCTGTTAATAATCGTAGTATCGTTTGCTTATGTTAGCTACAGACATTGAAGTGACTGAATGTGTTATAGTTCGACCTCCATAAGTGGACAGCGGCAAATCAATTTAATATTTCAATTATCACTACGATGCTACGATCATTTATAAATACTCTGTACAATGTCAGTGCTAAAGTCACCGTTTTAAGGGGATTCAATGTTGAATAGGTACTGAAAAACTATCTTTGTACCTATTCTAAATTATGAAGAGTTTATATTATATTTATGACATGAATTGAAATGCATATAGCTAATGAAAACATAGAGTTATTATATATCAGCATTTATGGATCCAAATCTATAGTTCACCTTACTGTGAAAAAGAATTTCAAAATTCTATATAATTCTTCTAATGAAGGTAGATATATGTTTTATATTAAATATATTGGTTCATCCTCTTTACATACAAACATATGTATATTATGACTAGAACTTAGGTCGAACTTATTGTTGAGAGAAATATTCAGTTGCAGTCGAAATAATTTAAGGATATAGGGTCCAACGTGTACAGATCGTTCTTTATTTTATGCATCCAAAACTGTTCAAAATAAATTATGAAGTTAATTTATATCGAAAATGGTGGTTTATTATGATCCAACGAACAGCGAGGCTTTGGAACACATTGCCAAGGGAGGTTTTCCTCGAGTCATATAACCTCCAGAAATTTAAGAAGAACACCAATTCCTACCTTATTTCCCTCGATTCTCACGATGTTCCTTGAACAGGATATCTCTTTTCGTGGGAACCAGAACATAAAGAAAACAATTCATTCCAAACAATTTTAGAAATATGGATCAACCTCTAAATATATAAGGTTTATATGCAAAAAGTCAAACTACCAAGTGGATTTATACTTTTATTTACACGTGTTTTGAAGTAGACAAATATACTTTATATGGTTCATAAGACATTTAATGAGACAACCATTTTTTTCACAGACTCAAGTATTTACATCACAGGAATTTCTTCATCTTAATAGTATGAAAACATTTGGCGCACAAAAATTACTTATTTTATGTACTGAGTGTTTCCTTGAATGTTTCAGACGTTATTCTAAAACATATGTCGTCAAGTTCAATGAAATATACAAGGCAATCCTAAATTTCGAAAGTGGGAATAATCTCGGATCACGAAATATTGAATTATTTCGGAAGTTAATGGTGAAGAATTAGTTTGGAATAGCTGCTGATAACTGGGAAAAACATTCATGGTAAATCATCCTCTGTCATTTACAAATATAGTGCTATGATTTGATTCGTCGTATATTCACAGATATTCAACAGTACTAGAAACAGGAAAATTGTGTATACCAATATTACAAAATTACGTCTTCCTACAAAACAATCCACAAATTAGGTCTGATGATAATATTGATCAATGATACTAAAAATTCAGAGTAGGTGACGATCGCCTTTCAATATACTGTATTTTATTATTTATTGTAAAACTTACAAAAACCTTCTAACTTTAGTAAGGATACCTATAATGCTAACTAAATATCTTTAGAAATGAAAAAATTACTGAATCAGAGATATTCATCATCATAATAGCGTTCACACAACCAAATTACGAACCAGTCTTCATTATTACATTACTAACTATGAACATATGTGACATGGATTTACACAGTGTACATACACCTTCCTTAACATCCAATATTTCTAAGGAAAGTAAAATTGTAGATACTTATTGTGAATCATTCTATACATTTTTCTCCTGCTTATCGCTCCAAGTATGCAAGATTATCAGCTTATAATCGTCAACATAATATAAGAATTATGTTACTGTGTGCTTCGTGAAGGAAATTCGTTATTATCGAAAAATATCACACTGTTCGAAATTCATTCAGAAATATATTGATTTCTTTAATGATTGTTACACTTGGGCTTAAGCTATGACTGAGTAGTTAATTGAAAAAATGATTTTAGTGCTGCTGCTTTTGCCCACAACAACTCTTGTAGATTCCTAGTACTTCGGATCACTACTACTCATTTCCCGAATTCATGTAATAGTCATTTATTCACCAAGGTATTAAAGAATATCATTATTACCCAAGATTATATCCAGAGGCTTCAGCCAAGGGGTATGAGGTTCCGCATGGTAATATCATTCTTTACTACCAATGGTGTTTATTTAATGTTTTTCACCACTAGCAATATATTTCAACCATCATATAGATCTGAGAAACTGAAATATAATACTAATATATAATATAACAATATAGCATATGAACAAGTCCTTATTGATGCAATTGATACGAATCTCGCATCAGAACGGTGAATTCGGGTTAATTATAGCAGAGGTGGCTATGTCTTTATTGACTATATAGTGGTTCATAAAATGACGAAAACTACCTTGATAGTAAAAACACACTTTACGTCTTGAAAAGGTAGGTTCTATAGCTAGTGGTGTAAAAATACATTTCAATACTTATCCTTGAAGTACAATGGTTGATATGTCTTCAGTCATCACCAGAACCGCATTATGATTGGTCATAACCTAGTAATGTTCCTGATCTTGCGGACGTTCTCTAGCTTGACCTCGAGCCAACCGAAGGTCACCGCTGCCACCACAAGCCACAAGGCCAAAAGGTACAACTTGAGCACGTTGCAGAGTAGACCGTGTACAAAAAAGGCCAATGAAAAGCCCAAGAAGCGGAAGAAGAATGCGTTGGTGAAGGCCGCTTCCCAGCTGTCCGCGTATTGGCCAGTCAAAAACGCTTAAAATAATGGAATATCAATATTATTTGAAGAAAAAGCTTTGTTCAGTGGATGTGTGATGACCCAAAATGGGGTAGATTGAAGTGAAGTGCAATAAAGTAATGAGAAGTCTGCATAATTAAGTTCAAGCAAGTTAATGTCTAATGCACGTGTTTGGACTTGCGATTTTACTTACTAAAGCTTAACATCTCCCAGATGGCGTTACAAACTCCCCACGAAGCTGATATCACATAGAACAGTGCTGGGTCATCCTCAGTTGGTTTCCAAAGCACGAGCACCATCAAGAGACAACCATGAAACACGAAACCAACAGCTAGAAAAACAAATATATTTTCTGATGATACTCGAAACATGGTACAACATGAATACTTCCTTACCTACTACATAGTATCTTCTGATTGTCCTCAGTAACATGCTGAGTGTGCAAGCAGCAATTGATTGTAGCAGCCCCATGGCCAAAAACACCAAGTTCAGTCTATGTATACCCAAAGTGCACACTACGTATGACTAAAATCAAAAGAACATTTTCAATGTGTTCCTGTCAATCATTGTAGATGGACTCACTTGGCTGAAATCAGCGTACATAAACGCTTGTTCAAGACCTATGAATACAGCTAGAGGTGCTGCCCATTGTAGTCTCCTATCCCTGAAGCCATCTCTAATATTCCTCAGGATAGCTAGCATCTCTCCTCTCTCTAAGGGATCCTGAGAAACATAATTAACATAAAATCGAACAATTTTTAGTCCTGTACCTACCTGATAAACCAGCATCTTGATGCGATCCAGTCCCAAGGCAGCTAGAACTAAGGCCAACCCACAAGCTCCTGCATACACGCCCACAAGCGTATCGGCCATTCCAGTGGATAGTATCCTGAACCCCGCCTCCAAGGTCGAGTTGGGCGTGGCCAAGCGTACCGGACACGCCTGCGCGCCGCATAGCCTTCCCTCCTCCGTCCTATCGAATAGACTATCGAGCAGAGAGGCGTAGTCGTCTGATGTAGGAGACGTGGCGTACATGGCTTGAGTGGCGTTATGGCAGTGGGCGGGGATAGACGAGGAGTTCCAAGGACAGTCCTTGAAGGTGGCGAAGTGAGTGAGAAGCTCAGGTTATAACTACTAGAGTTCCTTAATGTACTTGACACTGCTGTTTTGACGTTTTTGTATATTCGGAGCACAGACACAATGACAAACACTAACAGTCGTAAGACATAACTACAGATAAATTGATGGAAAGAGCGGGATTTGATAACAGTACACGAACGTACATGATATGAATTCCAATGGTTTGTTGAAGCGAAGTATTAAGGCATTGTCGTTCTAGATGACAATCTAGTTAGGTAGTTAGTAGGCAGGAGCTATATTACCTCCTCGCACTAGGTCGCCTACTAGGTTTTCATTTAGATTGACAATGATTAAAGTATCATTTCTACAAAGCATAGTGGACAAGAACACTCAGCCAGTACACCATTCATTGTTATCGAAAATGATCTTCCTATGGCCAGATTCGAACCACTTCCCTGAACATGTAGAGGAAGGAAGATGCAGAAGATGCAAGAAGCCTTTATTCAAGCGAAAAACATATTCTTTTCCTGGTCTGACAAAACATCTACTTCAAAATCGTTTTTTGTTATGTCTCAGTGGCACTGCTTGTCGAATGTCCATACTCCAATACACGAAAAACGTCAAAACAGCAGTGTCAAGTATATTAAGGAAGAAACTCTAATAACTTCTGCTGCTTACTTACATCTGTGACTATGGAAGTGAAGTTATCGAATAATCTTTCATTAACGCTTATCCTCAGAGAATAGCTGATGAGGATTGCGGACAGTATTGAGCCCAAGATCAAACCGAAATCATGTGAAGCCTGTGAAAAAATTAGAAATTGAAAACCTCCGTTCACTTCACCATCAGGTATTTTCTCACCTGAAAAGCTCTTGCCACTCTTCTGATGATGCAAGTCCTTCTTGCCTGCCTTCCTTCTTCTTCTTCCTCGTGGAAAAGCCCTGTCATCCGATGGGATAGCACCATGAGGAAAGACACTTGTGCGGAGCTTAGCAACCCTTGGACCAACCCCAAGACGATAAAGGCGGGAACCACTACGTACGTGATGGGGTAGAGAAGGGATAGGTAAAGGACTATCATGATGCCTGAAAAATATTATGCTATCAACAAAAATGTCAAAAGATCTATGCCGAGTGAACAAATAGGTCGCGTGCACGATGACCGACCCTGGAGGTAGAACATTGAAACACAACCTCACTTTTTTCATTAGTTTACAGATAAATCAAAGGACTGAAATAGTTTTTCACAATATGTTGACATACGATTCGAGTTTTTTGCGCTATTCATTAATTCAAGGATGCCGTTTCATTGTGCTGCTGTACAATGAACAAAAAATGCAGCTAGAGACGAAGGAATGTGATTTTTCAGGTAAATAGAAATCTCACATTATGAAATATTGTCATTTCTTATTTGAATTCCTTTTGTCACTTTTGTAATAGAATCTAATACTGCTAATAGACCAGTCCTCCCGTTTGATTGCATAAATCCAATCTTCTTGCATTCTTTTAGAAATTTCATGAGTCTATTAGCTCCTATTGTGCAGAAGGAATTCCGATGAGAAATCAGAGAAATTACCAATATTTAAAATGAAAAGTATATGTGAGTGACTATAGTAGGTAGTTACTTTTAAATCATAATGAACCAACCAGATTCCTTCGTCTCCCGCTGCATTTTTTTGCATTGTACAACAGCACAATGTGATGGCATGCACGATTTAATGAATAGCGGAAGACACGATTCGTATGCTAAAATAAAATTTCAAAATGAGAACTATTTGTACTTTTGAATCACAATTTACCTACCAGAAAAAACAAAAAGTGAGGTGATGTTTCAATGTTTTGCCTCCAGGGTCGGTCATTGCCAGATCTAGCTCGCAACCCATTCTTTTGGGTTATACATCATCAAATGATGCCTCACGTTGGCATGAGAACTTCCTGTGGATTCATCGTCTTCAATTATTTTTGTACATGATCCAACATCATTCATAATTGCATCATTCCGCATTATATCCAAATTAGCTGTTTGATGAGTAGGTATATAAGAATCATTAGTCTTCAACTATAATCAAGAAACCTCTTCTACATAATGCCTTATCATACAGGGTGAATACTTGTTGTGGATATGAACATGAAAATTATGCGATTAGTAATTTTGAATGGCTTACCATGACATGACGTCACGACTATACTTGGACTGACCCTCTTCAGGACTAGAGGCGCGATCAGACTAAAAAATGCAGCTACTAAGTACGTTCCTGAAACCAAGAACGAACCGATTGTGATGTTAGTCGACGTTTCGTCCCCTGGGCGATACCATGCGGATACGGAAGCCTGTAGGGCCAAAAAAGGCAAGTAGGCAGCGGAGGTTAAAAGGTGACTGATGCAGACGATGGTCAGATTGGCTATGAGGACTCTTCTCGTGATGACTGGAGTACCACCATGACCTTATAAAATAGAAGAAATTTATCACGAATCGAATAACGTTTTGGGAAATTCGAGCAAATTCTCACCTGGCTGACTACTTCCCCCTCCCCTAACAACTGCCAATAATCTTCTCACAGATGTCGCTCCGATGGAGCTGTTTATTGAATCTTTTCGTTTGAATCCACTCTGCTGATGGAGATTACATCTTGATCTCGTAGATACAGGAGAGTAGGTGGCCATATGCTAAAACCATAGAAAAATCAACTAACCAAGTGACTGTGAAACCATAGAAAATAAAGCTACAATCAACTTACCAAGTGACTGTATGTCTAGGATCTAAAAATCACAGATCTGGCTTAGGTCTTAGATCGAGTACTGTTTTAATAATTATATGTATGAGGTTCAACACTCAAATTTACCCTGATGCCCTAATAGTTCATTCAGAAATGAGCTTTTTGCCTGTACTAGTCAGACGAGCCAGTCAAGATCAGGCAATACCTACCTTCGATCTTAACATTGAAATTTGTCGAACACGACCTCTCTAACAAAACTCGTTCGACCATATAGCACACAAATCCTTAGGAACTCTTTGGCTAGGAAAGTATATTCCCAAGAACTTATACTTAACCATAACAAGTTTGAAAAAATGCCATTATACCTTCTCTGTGTACGATGGAACAGGTAACAAAGTATAACCAATCGACTGATTATTATTTACCTCAAGCATGACGTCATCGTATACTATCTTATTGGAGTCTGTCGGATTACTGCGCGCTTTAGTGATTTTGTGATGCCCGGAGTATTTATACAGCATCTTCGATTTCTCGGTGGTGGCTTGTACTCCATTGCAACCCCCACAAAGATGTCCCAAGGCTGGACCTGGAAAAAAAAAACAAAGTATTTGAATCCCAAGGTTATATACTTTTGAATATTTTTCATTCTAACATGCCAGAACTGGATTTTTATTTGAAGGGAAAATATTCTGTGGGGAACAAGATCGCCAATTAAATATCTAATGATGAAGATGGAAAGCCCTAATTTCGAGTGACAATGGAAAATGAAGATACTCCACCGCCCCGTGTGAGAGTCGAACTCACAACCTCCGCTTTCCATCTTCATCATTATACAGGGTGTCTGTAAAAGGTCTTTACGAAAACATACCACATATTCCTTAGACCAAAATAAGTTGATTTAAGTAAAATTACCTTAGTACAAAGTTGCATCGCTTGGGCTCCAGAAGGCCTTGAAGTTACAATTTTTAGATCGTTTTTCCCATATAAATTCAAAACGGCATATGCGATTTCGCTGAAATTTGGTAAATTGATAGAGTTCTATGTGGCGAAGAAATGGTGCTTAATTTTTGCCCGATATCAACCCATAGGCGTAGAACTTGAATTTTTTCAATAATTGCACCTTTAACAATTCTACGCCAATGGAATAAAAGGAGTTTGAGTATGAAATTTAGATTGCACAACTCATTTACTTTGAGAAAGGTACTGTTGATAAGACTCGATTACTCTCATGGTTTTCGCTAAATTTCTGTTTCAATAATCTAGAGTGTATAGGTTTCACAAAAGTATTTATTTATATACAACATAATCAAAATAAATAGAGATTTCACAAAAATTGTTCAAAATATTCACCATTTTCACGCATACGAAGATTTATTCGTCGAAGAAAATTAATAATAATAAATAGGCGTAGAACTTGATTTTTCAAATAATTGCACTTCCAAAAATTCTACGCCAATGGCAGAAAAGGGATTTGAGTATGAAATTTGGATTGGGTACTCATTTACTACAAAAAGTACCCTGGATAACACTTGATTTACTCTCATGGTTTTGACGAAATTGGCATTTTAGTAATTTTAAAACATAAACAATAATTATCAAGAGTGCCTTTTTTGAAGTAAATGAGTTGCGCAATTTAAATTTCATACTCAAACACCTTTTCTTCCATTGGCGTAGAATTTTTGAAGGTGCAATCATTTAAAAAATCGAGTTCTGCGCCTATGTATTATTATCGGTCAAAGTTTTAACACAATTTTTTTGCCACATAAAACTCTATCGATATACCAAATTTCAGCAAAATCGCATATGCCGTTTTAAAATTATATGGGAAAAACGATTTGAAAATTGTAACTTCAAGGCCCTCTGGAGCCCAAACGATGAAACTTTGTACTAAGGTGATTCTACTTAAATCGACTCATTTTGTTCTAAGGAATATGTGGTATGTTTTTGTAAAGACCTTTTACAGACACCCTGTATATGTATCTTTTCGGTTGAGTAACTGACAAAAAAATTATGACTGACTCCTAACTAAAATATCTCCCTACCCTGTAGATCCACTTCCAAGAATCTTCAACTGGGACCATCGATATCAAAGAATTTCTTCCTCAGAATTATCAGAAAATTGTTTTTATTTGAATAGGATAATCATTTGATATGAAAATGAATGTTCAATTTGGTGAATATTCATCAGTTTACCTGGTTTGAAACCTTGTTCTTCTCCTTCTTTGCCCAACTCATGTAGATTCGGTAAGCTGCCCATTTCGGAAAAATGGTAAGGGATCCAACCATCACACTAGAATGGTTTGATCAGGTGTGCTGTAATGGCGGTTGAAATTGATTCGGATTGGTTGTAGATAAGCACTTTGGTGATTCATGTGGGACCATTCTGGAAAATCTGCAAAAAAATTTGGGGTGAATTAATTGGTACGAAAGCGAAGAATAGCCACTGTTGTTTGTTTTCTTTGAATTCAGACTTATTTTTATCTCTTGAAGCCCACGATCAGAAATTCCTAAGATGTTAGATGAAATTCGTGCGTACCTATAAAGGATCCCACTAAGCAAAGTTGAAAGCTATGTTGATGCAATGTTGAAGCAATTACTGAAACGGATGTTCAGCAATATTGCAGAAGTGAAGTTTGATAATGTATCGTTGCAGCAATATTACATGTTGTTGTGACATTGCTGGAACATTACATTTATAAACTTCACTTTTGGAATATTGCTGAACCTCTGTTTCAGTAATTGCTACAACCAAAAGTGAAAGGTCACCGACTTTTTTACGGAGTTCTAATGAACTCAAAGTATGTTCGGAACCCCATAATATGTGAGAACAGTATCCTAAAACTGGCCGTATCTGTACTTTTTAGATTGTGAGAAGCTGTTGGGGTTTAAAGTAGATTTTCGCACGGAATAAAAATCCTAGTTTTTGTGAAGCAGCTTTCGCGATGGATTGGACATGATTTTCCCATGAAAGAGTATTGCTGATGGAAATACTGAGCATCGATATAGTGATCAGGCATACTGAGTTTTGCCTTTCTAGGGAAAATACAGACTTGAGTTTTGGTGCGATGTTGAATTCAACGAGGTTGTTGGTTTTCCAGGTTGTAATTTCAGCAAAATTGTCATGGAATTCAGACTATTTCTTCTCGATTCTAACCGATTTCTCTGAATTCTAACTCCTTGTTTATGTATGTGTGAATAGGATGTCCCAAAAGTGCACGTCAGAAAAATCACGAGGACGTATTCCTTTCAGGAAAATGGAGGTAAAAGAATATTGTGAAATTTTTATATCGCTATTTCGAAGTTGGGAACCAAAGTTGAAACCTACAGCTTATAGTGGAATCGAAACCACTTCTAGGTCATCGAGGTGCTGCCAGGATTACAACCATGAATCACACATGAGCCGGATTTGAAACGACAGTACAGGGTGCAATTTCTGAAACACATTTTGTTTTATAACTGTTATATACGCTGTAATGGAATGAATTAGGCACACTTAATTCTGGTACGTCCTTAACTCACTTTTCATTCATAATCACATCAGCGTGGGTACAATATCAGTAAAAAAATATCCCGGCAATTGATAGATAACCATCTGAAAAATATGGAAAAAATATGTTGATATTATACATTCATGCCCAATTGTTAACATAACTTTAATATAACATATATGATACATAAAATCCATTAATTCCAACGATAGTTACCTACCTATCAAACAAAACACCTTGTAGACTAAGCTTCTTAATTCATTCTTCATAGGTACATATAGGAATACGCTCCTGTGATTTTATACAGTGAATTTTTGGATCAGCCTGTATACACACATGAAAAAGGAAGTCTGATTAAAAAAAAATCTGAATTGGAAGAGGAAAGTCTGAATAAAGAGGTGAAATAAAATACTGTCTGTAGGTTAATCGAGGAGGTGGTACATTCATTTTACTTTTTTGGGATTTTTTATCCTCGTTTCACTTCGTTTGAAAAAATGTTGAAGGAAATAAATATTGAAAAAATTGAATTTTTACTTATCTTTGGACGTTTCGGGAGCGAATCTGCTCCCGTTCTCAACATGAAAATGAGAAGTGTCAAACTATAAACAGAGCACAACTTTCAAAGGAAAATATTTTGTAATAATTTAAAAATCAAAAGTATAATAACCTGTTTTGAATCACCTTTACAGCAAAGATTACAGAGGTATATTTCTTGATTTTTTTCTTTGTCTGTATATGAGTAGGTACCACGCCCTTTCTTTGTTCAATGTCGAGCTAATTATATTACGATTCGCTAATTGGAACAAAAACATATATCTCTTTCTGTCTCTCTCTTACAAAATTTATTCATAAAGAATTTATTGTATAGATACATGAATGGGTGTAATCCATCTGCAATTGTTTCTAATGGGGCAGTCAGTGAGGTGCCAACAAGAGGTCATATAGGATCATTACAATATATATGATGATATTTGATATATCACGAATATGAACCTATATCCATAATTGGATATTTATCGTTACACCTAGGACTTCGTATCAAGAAATTATCGAATATAATTTTGGAATTTTCATAATTCTCCTGTTTCAGAATGCTTTTTTTTACACTTCCTGTTCCCATCATACCTATTTGGTAGATATTGATTCCGGACTACCATTGTACAGTTCATCACATTTTGGAAGAGTCAGCCAGGTTATCCTGATTGTTGTTTAACATAGAACCTTGCGGTATTTGCGGTCTTGTCCAATCTTTTTTGAAACTCAAGATGACCAATCAGATTACTGTTTCCGTTTATGAGATACATAATTTATACTTTCTGGACCCCCTCTATATCTACGAATTTTCTCAGTGAAAATGTCAAATTAAAATCTTATTTCATAGAGAAATTTACGCAGAATCCAATGACGCACTATTTTTTATTCGGGGTATGGTTTTGGAGATACGATTGAAATGAAATTCCTTATTTTTTCCTTCAAAATGATATATGGTATGATTATAAAATTTTCTAAAATGCTCCAAAATCACTAAAACATTGAATTTTAACAGTGGGTTATAGATTTTTCATATAAAAAAGTTCTGATTGAAAGAATATTCCTTTTGATTTTCCCATGAAGAGGACAGAAACTACCAATGACTACATCGGTATTTCGGAAACCATAAGAGATACGAAGTTGGTTGAATCAGAGAAAAGTTGGCATTTTCAAAACTAACAATATGTCATGAGAAGTTTCAAAATTCCCAGTTCCGGAGACATGCCTAAGAGCCCAACATCTGCCGATTTCGTTTAAATTTTTTCTGAGCGTTATTTTGGAAGATATAGGAAAACGAATGCCACTTTCTGAGCTCTACGAAACAGTGTTGAGAGATCTTCCGTACGTCGTTTCGTTTCGGAAAAGCCATCATCAACTATATTTTTTATATGGGCTGTAAAAAAGTATACCCTGTATAAAATCTCCCCACGCTGTTTTTGTAGAGCTCAAGATGTGACAACAAGAATGTGTTTTTGTTTCCCTATATCTCCTTAAATACCGTCGGCAAAAAATAAAAACCAAATCGGAAAATTTCTGTTTGTCAGGCATACCTCCGGAACTACTAGGACTTTTGTCACTTTCTGAACGGCGTATTGTTAGTTTTGAAAATGCGCAAATTTTCTCTGATTTGCCAACTTCGTATCTGTTGTGGTTTCCGATATCCCCATGATAAACACGGGTATACAATAGTTTTTAGTAAAAACCATTTCCATGAAATACTGTTCTGACCGAATATAAACGGTTCCGCTGGGATAATATTCTGATGAATTAGTATCGCTGTTAAATACGGTTTAGATGAATTGATGTTCCGATGGAATACAGTTCCTACGAATTCCGGTTTTAATGATTCACTGTTATGATTGGATACGTTTCTCATTTGATACCATTCTGATGGATTACATTTCTTTCTATTATTTTACATTCGATCGAAGTTGTTTTATATTCCGATAGAATACGTTCCTACAGAATACGTTTCCAATCAATTATTATTACTAATCTCATGGAATATATTCCTATACTCCATACTCCGACAGTTCTCATTGTTTGTGGAGAATTTTCATTGTTCATCAACTCTTTCCATTCATACATGATGGTAGATGATTTTTGTCACCAAAAGTATTGATACAAAATTTAATTCGAATTGGATGTTTTTCCAGAGCATAATACTGTTCTTTCGAAAATACTTATAGATAGTAAAAATATCAACAAATGAACTTTAATAAGGAAGTGTCTCTACTAATAGACGCTGATGCTGATTCTGCAGATAATATTTTAATGATATAGGTGCGCTAATGACTATATCTAAAATTTATTCACACTTGATTACTACGCACCATTGGTCTAATTTATTGGTTGTTATCCCAAGAATTTGTTGTCATCACACAATCTTAATTTCGATTATAATTTTTTCTGAAAGTAGATATTTTTCAAGGTCTGTTTCTTTTCCACGAATATAAATATAAGACGCTACTGTCAAATTTATGAATCGTCTATACAGATGATAATACAGCTATACCTATAGAGGTGCACACGGTTTATTTTGTTATTAAAATTGCTCTTCTCTTTCTACCTACCTTTCTTTTTGTTTCTGGTGGATATTGAGTGATAGCTCTCAATTGCTTCACCCAGTATAGCTTTAAGACTGCCTTCAGCATGTTATTCAAGTAGTATGTAGCCATTAATGACCTTCAAGAATCGATATTTTGGATGATTCGAAAACGAAAAGTAGGTATATACAGGGTGTCCCGAAACCAGCCCGCCAAACTTCACCAGCGACCAAAAACAGAAGGAAAAGTTTCAATGGAAAATTGCTTTGAAGGCATGTACGGCGTCTTCAAAGAATGCTCCTCAAGGTGATATTTCCTGAATATTTCCGAAACGTCATGTGACAAAAAGATGCAATCTGGTACATGAACTAAACTTCCTATGCCCCCCCCCATGCAGTGAAAATGATATCATTTCAAAATTTCATTCAGGGGTGTTTAATACAGGGTGTGACCGTATTAAATATTACTCAAACTTTGTGTATGCATATAATTTTTCGATGATGTTATTTCGGATTTTGAAAATCCACAACTCTTTGCGGGAAAAAGGTACTCTTGTTTCCTATAGTTCAGATGAACAATTTCGGAGTGAAATCGATTTGATACATCTCAAATATTATGCTAATTTCCAAATCATATATAGTGGCTATGAAATAAATCAATTACATTCTTTTCACTAAACAATTTCATAGAGGCGGGTAAAATAGAAAAATGATAATGAAAAACTACTTGAATTTTTTGTGCATTTTTTTCCATAGCCACTACAGTTTATTGCAATGTTATGCATAATATATGAGAGGTATCAATATTTTCAAATCGATTCTCCTCTA